TAATTTCCTCCTATTCTGGCTGGCAGGAGTGACTGTTTGGTGGCTTCCACTTACAGAAAGCCATGGGCCCTGCTCCGAAAGACAGCTCTGGTGGCTGGTGGCTTAGAAACTTTGGTGGCCTAGAAACTCCACTACCCTATGTATAACCTGTAGCGTTGAATTCCCTAAAACCCTTGCACTGGGGCAAAAACTGGGCATGTGTTTCCATGCAAGCATCTTTGAAAGGAGCAAGGAAAGCGCAGAGCGGTGTTGCCGGCTGTCTTGTTTCTCTTTCCACCCTGATCTGCTTCCCCTCCACATGCAGGGAATAGTTTATAAATGGGACACACGATTTCCCCTTCTGTAGTCCAAAGAGTACAGCCCATAAGCATGGTGAGCCAAGGCTGAAATAACACATCAAGTTTGCTTTTCCAGGAAGGTTCTGTATGCAGTTTAAATGCACCACCTGCTGGACACGTGCAAATTGATGGAGGCAGGACTGGGAAACGGCAAGCCAGCAAACCTAGCCATGTTAGCCTGGAAGTGCATAATGGAACTTGTTTCCCACCTCGGAACAAGCTGGGAACCTGTCTTTGGAAAACAGACAGTAGCAAGGGTTTCTAATTCCTCATTTGCTCTATTTCTTCAGAACCAGAGGAATGAAAGCATAAGGTCCAGTAAATTAGGCCTCCAGGTACAGGTGACTAACCTCAGCAAACTACTTAGCTACCGGCCAGTGATTCTTCTTTAACCTATCCGACCTCACAAGGCTGTTGTGCAGATCTCATAAGAGGGCTTGTACAGCTAGCTACTTGAAGAATTGAAGTGAAACATTAATAGTAACAAATAAGCATTTTTGCCCATACATCCTTAACTGTGTCTCAAAATGCAAGCTTTTCTGTGCATCTCTCTGGTGATTTTGGGCTTTTCACATGTTTACACAGAACCTGGGATTTCTCATAGAATGTGATTATTTTCAATGGAGAACTGAAGCAAATGGTATCACTTATACACATATCACTGAACTGACACCTGCCTGATGAAAAGAACCTTGTTTATTGGACTTATCACACCTTTTCCCCAAGGTAACAGGAGGCGACAGGAAAACCAAAATTGAAACCGAAGAAAATTAAAATCTAAACCATAAAGTGAATACACTAAGAAATATTCTCACAACAGTATGGTAAGAGAAGTACCCCCAATGTAATGGATTGATTTCCATGCCAAGAACCGCTCAAATAAGGGCGGGGGAAGAACACCTGGCTTCGATCAGTGGAGAGCTCCAGTGGCTGGAAGCAGCCATGAGAAGGCCTCTCCAGCGTCCTTCTCAAATGTATCTCTCGTGGTGGGACCCACGAGACGGGCCTTCTCCAAAAGGCCGAGAACCTGGGCAAACTTCTTCGGGTGCAGACAGTCTTCTGTACGGAGCAGGGTGTTGGAGCCACTGGCCCCCTTCCAACTCTGCTATTTTATGATCCCATGATTCCAGGCAATATACCAAGTGCTACCCTAAGGGGACCCAATTTTACAAACTTGTAAAATATCGCATAACCAGCAGGGCCATTTCTCTGATGAATGTATCTCGTGGTGCAGTATTTGCTCATCTCATTTATACTTTGCATTCCCAAGCGAATACTTTGAAAAAGTAAAAGCACAACTAACAGCTTGAGGGTGCAAGCCCATGTATGTTTAGACGGAAAAGAGTCCCATGTCTTCCAACATTCTGCAGTGGGGTTGGTTGGAAAAGTGCCAGAAGATGCTGGGCCTTTTTCGCTCCTGTCTCAAGTCCTGCAGAATTGCATTGCTACAGTGTTTCCAGAGAGAGGGTTCTCAGGACTACCAACCAGAAGCCATTATTTAGGTCTTATGCTATTTCTTGTCCCTTAACAGATTTCCTGCAGAAACAAAGACGAGATAAAAGACATGATAGAAAAATCTCAGATGGTTCTGAAGAAGTTGCGGCTAATTGAAGAAGAATATCCCACGAAGGGGCAGAGAGATGGCACTGGGAAAGCCCCCCGGATTGAAACAAGAGGTCCTTAAAAAGCAATTTTTAAAATCCGCCCAGAAGCTGCCCGGGATTCAGTATGATGCATGGGACAGAAGGCATCCACCCTGGGGAAGCTAAGCAAGCCTGTGGCTGGTCTGAGCTTGGAGGGGAGACCACTGGGACGGCAAGTCACCACCTCGAGTCCCACCTGGGGAGAAAGGTGGGCTAGAAAACATTAAAAAATATTAGAATTGGGCTTTTAAAAAAATCACACGCACACAAGCACAGGTTTGGGGTGCACCCAAGTTTGTGACCCCGGGACCATTAACAGCAACCAACATCACCACACAAAAGCCACAAGCTGAAACATCTTCCAAGAGGAAGCAGCAAGAGACGGCAGGCAGGCAGGCAAAAGGCGTGTGAAGGGCACGCATGCGCAGCGAGCCGAACGTCCTTTTCTAGCAGCAAAGAGAACAGAAGAACAGTTGCATTCAACAGTCACTTCCGGATTTGATTTGGCTGCCACTAGAGGGGTAGTGGCAGATTTTTCAAACGCAGGGAGCAGGGGGAGGAAAGTGGAGCCGCTCCGGTTTCCAGACCCCTATGCTATTTCCTCCCATTGGTCGCTTCCCGAGATTGGAGATGGAAACGAGATCAGTTTTCGGTGCGTCGTACAGGTGCCCCCGTTGTACGGTTGCGCCCGCCTTCTCCGCAGCCCGCGAGGCTCCGCGCTCGGCGCATGCGCCGTCGTCCGCGCCAGTCCCCTCCGCCTCCCCCGGGGGCCGGGCCTGAGGCCGCGCGACGAGGCGCATGCGCGGCGCTGGCTTCGCGAGCTCGGCTCCTCGCAGCAGAGCTTCCTCACGCGGCCGCTCCGCCTCGCCCGCCTCCGTTCTCTCGGCGGGCCCCGCGCGGACGGGCTCCCCATCCGGGGTGCGCCAGGCCCCGGCATGCGACGCCGCCCCGGCCGCCGCCATCGCCACCCGCGAGCCGCCGTCGGCGGAGCCCTGAAGCAGCCGGAGCGAGGTGAGCCTCCGTAGGGCGCTGCGGCCGGGGGCGGAGCTTCGCGGGGCGCGCCGCAGGCCACGCCCAGGCCACGCCCTCCCCTTCCGTGCAGCCCTGCCTGGCTCCGCCCCGCCGGGCCACGCCTCCCGCTCGCCAAGCCCCGCCCCAGCAGCGGCGCCCCTTTCCTGTGCCTCTCCCAGCCCCGGGGCAGCGCGGTGTAGTGGTTAGAGCAGCGGAGAACCCTCGCCCTTTTCCAACCTGGCATACTCCAGGGGCTTTGGATTGCAGATCCCATCATCCCCAGCTAGCAGGGCCTGTGCGCACGGGTGTTGGGAGCTGTAGTCCGAGGGTGTCCCATCGGAGAAGGCCCGATGAATGTTGGACTTAAACCAGGAAGGAGCTGAGGATGCACAAGGGTTGCACACTGTGTGCGTGTGCGTATGCGAGAGAGAGCCCTTTCCTATCTGATCCAACCTCACAGGGTTGTAGTGTGGATAAAGGGGGACATGTGCAGGTGGGAAGAGAGAGTCTACCTTTCCTGTCTTGAGCTTCCTGGGATTCAAACATACCTTTCAAATGTTAACCTGCTGTTCGGCTTTGCCGGATTGACCCCAAGGAGCCCAAGGTGATGGGATGGTTCTGGAGTCCCACCCCCCTTTTGGGCTTCATGATCGCCCTGGGAAGCTTCAGGACAGAGTGTGGACTTGATCTGCATTCTTGCCGTCCTGCCCTTTCCAACTCTTTCACCACACCTGTTGGGCATCGTGCCTCCTGTCACCCCACCTGCATGCTCCCCTCTTCTCCTGTCATCAGCCCCACTCTCCTTCACTCCTTGCCCTACACTCCCATGTACATCCAATCAACACCACCCCAAGCTGAAGCGCTTCCATGCTGAAACAACAACACTAGATAACATACGAGTCAGAAAAAAGGATTCTGCTTTTGCTTTTCCCCTGATTTCTGGGGTGTTGTTGATTATCAAGGTGGCTTTTTGTTGCCACATGTTTGTATTTAAACACGTGAGCCCCCTCCTGAGTCCGAATGGGTATAGTCTCAGCACACGCTTACCACCTCAGTGAGAAAAAGGCCCTCGTCTCTGTGTGCGCATCGGGATTTCCCCATCATGCAAGATAATCCCAGCACCACTTATATACAAGTTTCAGTGCTCCCTTCCCTTGCACTGGCTCGGGAAAGCGATGCGGCCAGTCCTTAGACACCAGGATCACATTTCCAGCCATCCCAGCTCCCAGCGCCTGCAAATAACAGGGGTAGGTCTTTCTCCAGCAATGCCATTGCTATTTGCGGGAGATAAACGCATTTGAATTAGTGCAGCGACAGGGTTCGCAGGATCGTGCGAGTGACCCGTCAGCTGCGAAGCATTGGAGGCTTGCAGGACAGGGCAAGCTGCACCAGCAAGGGGAGTCACGGAATTCCCCCAACATGTGTGGTGGGAAAATAGGCCACCGTGGATTGTTTCCCCCTGCAGGAATGTGCAAGCAGGCCTAGCGTCCGAGACAGCTGTTTTGTCGAGACATCTGCACAATCTCAACTAAAATAATTTCATTCACCTTGTATTGAAGGGGGGGGGATAATGGTGAGATCCAGGAAGCGATGCTTTGCTGGCCGCTTTCTTTGCAGCAGAGAAACTAAGGAACACTGTCATTGATTTGTTAATGAGTTTCAACACGAAGGCATCACTTGCCAAGCCTTTTCATACTGAGTCGGGCTAGGATGGTCTATCAAGCCAGTGCTGTCAACTCCGACTGGCAGTGAATCTTCAGGGCATGATGCAGAGAGAGCTCCTTTGCAGCCCAGTGATCTCTGATCCTTTTTCCCCCCCTGCCAGGGACCGAATCGGGGATCATCTGTACCTAAAGCATGTGTTCTGTTGAGCGTCTCCATTGCCTCTCCACTGATACCACTGCTCAAGACCATCTTTCTCTTCAAGACGCTGTGATCTGAGATGATTTAAGAAACTAAACAGAGTAAGCATTGACCATCATTTGGGGGGATCGGCATCCCAAAGTGCTTAGCCCTTGGGCTTGTGTTAAAGTTACTGAAATAACGATTCAGCGCCGTTTGAATGTCCAGAGTCTGAATGCAAGGGAGTGGAGCAACTTTGCCGGAAGATACAACGCCTTTTGGTTTTTTGGGAGATGGAAGCGCCGTAAGCAATTCCTCCAGGGAAACTTTTCTGCAGAAGAGTCGCGTAAACGTTGCGCTGTTTGAAGACCTTTATCTGAGGAGCTGAATGCACAAGCTGTTAAAGCTTGAGATGAAATTAACTGGGGGTGGAGAGTCTTCCGCAGCAAAGTTTCGTAAGCTGACAAAGGTTAGAATGACATGCTGAGCTGTGCTTTCACTTGAGCTTTGATAGCTCCTGCATGTACCACAAAGAAGCTCAAGTTCTTTCTGGTGTTGTATAAAGCTGTTGGTGAGCCTGTGAATCCAGATCGTCCGATGTTTTCTTCTCTGATTGGACTGGCTTTGCAGAGTTTCACGCAGATGTCCTTTTCCAAGGACTAAGTACATGGACTTTCCGCAGGCCACTGGGTGAACGACATGGATCTATCTGATTCTGCATGGCTCTTCCGTTCTGTGCAAGTTTAGATAGGAACTGGTGCATGCTGGGAATTGTAGGCTTCCCCCTTCAAAAACAACAACAAAGGATTCTGCCCTAAGTCTTGCTAATTGGAGATAACAGGAACTGAATGTAGAACCTATTATATGCAAAGCATTAACTGTATTACTGGGCTGCAGCATCTCTCAAGTGCATTTAGCAATCCAGTAAGTGGCTTTCAAAAGAAAGGATAGATTGCTGGGTGTACCTGGCAGGTGTTTCAGTGAAAGCGATCATTGGAGGTATTTATGGTTGCAAAGGGGCTGGGTTAGATTTCGGAGACATTCTTGGGCTGCATTAAAGTGGTGGGTGAGGCCAGAAGCAAAAGTGGTTGGGCCCAAAATACCAACAGAACAGGAAAGGCGTTTCAGTCTTCCGGAAGCGGGGAAAGACTGTGCAAGAGACGAAAAACCAGCCAATGCCTGCTGGCTGAGAGAAAGGGGGCAGAGCCAGTGGGAGGGGGCCTGGACCGAGGTCCAAGGAGGGGCAGATTTGGCCCTTGGGCTGAGGCCCTGTGCTGAAGGAGACAAGCAGCATCACTGGGCTTGCTTGGTAAGCCTGACCAGAGGCAGAAGGTGCTCGGGGCAACGTGCCGGGAAGACATCCATGGTGACCCATTTAGAAGCACTGCAAGGATGCTGCAGCTTGCCCTTTGCCCGTATTCATGCTCGTAAAGTCGCGGCCTGCGAGGTGCGTCTGTCTCTCAGATTGTGGCGGCTCTTAACCAGGCCCTTGGTGTGGGCCAGGCTGCTCTTGGGGGGCCCGCAGGATTCCCCAGACCTCTTCCCCTTTGCAGCTAGAACCTCTCCCACTCCCCACTTGTGAGTAGGGGGTGCCCACTGGAAAGGACTGGGGTGGGGAGGTTTCAGGGAAGTCAGAATGGTGTTGCATTTGAGTCAGCCTTTGGAATTGTCCTGGAGACAAGTTCCAACACGGATAAGTTCCTTTCCGAGTCAAGCTGGCCCCTGAGTTTTCTACCACTTGACATTTCCAAGCAGTCTTCAAAGACAGGCCCACGCACAATATCTGCTTGTGTTTCCCAGTTGCAAAATCGCTCGTCGGACAAGGACTCTGGAGGCAAGGGCGGGAAGGACAGCTGGGCACCAGAATGGAGCAGACGGGCAGGACAAATGGCCTGAACGTGACATTTCCCGAAACAGCTGATGGCCAATAAATGCCTATCATTAACAGCCATCTCTGTTCAGAAAAATGAAACACCTGCCTCTCTCTCCTTTTTCCTGGAGGTTCAGCATTTTATCCAGAGACCGAGGAGAAATGTAGACATTTGAACTTGATCGGGGCAGCAGAGGTCAGACTGGAAGTGCCATCCGAATGAGCACGCGTCCTTCAGACGCAGCCGCCCTTCCGTCACAGAGAGTCTCGCTTCTCTCCGGGGTGCATAACGATTGTGACTAATGAGTGATCTTGCCCTGTCTGTGTAGGTTACATCAAATATGACTACGTGCATCTTAGAAGCCCAAAGGAACAGCAAGATGTCAACCTAACACTCGCACTCCCTGTCAGGTATGTGTTTGCGCTGGATGCTTTGCGCAGCCTGTCCCCAGAGGCGCGTGGTGGTTCACAAACAGAAGCAAAAGCGCTCGGGTGCCCTTTTGGGCCCAGGTTCAAACATTAACAGATAAAGCACTAGGCAACCCTTCCCTGCTCTCTGAGCTAACGTGGCTTGAACTCGGAAGGAAGGAGAGTTGCTCAGCAGCACTTCCAAGCCACCCGGGGAGCGTCCGAAGCGGACACAACGTTCGCCTGAGCCGGTTTCGGTCTGGGGGCTGGATTTGTACGGCAACTGCCACACACAAATGACTTCGGTCTTTTTAGTCAGTCTTCTGCTGCAGTTTGCTTTTCGCCATTAGGTCTTTCCTTTCAGGAGAGATGCACCCAAAAAGCCATCCATTGGAAATGTGTGTAGTTCCTAAAGATGTTAACTCAGTTGACCTTCCTGCGCTTGCATCCTGAACTGGGTTCAGTTGAACAGTTTGTACTGCTAGAAATTTCTAGGCTTCTGGATTTTATCCTAGCCGTGTTCTGCTCTGGATCTTGCGAGCTGGACCTATGTCTTTTTACTGCACAAGTTACTGAGAAAGCTCCCCCTTAAAGCTGTCTTAGAAATATTTAATCATAAAAATAATGCAAACAAGCAGAAGTTCCTGCTTAAAAACTTGCATCTGCATTAGGTGGCTTCCTTTTCTGCTTCAGTTCCACCCCCTCATGCAGTGCTGGGGTGATAGTACTGGCCTACCTTTCAAGGTTGTTGTCAGAATTACAGGAAGAGAATATGCATGAAGTCCTTAAAAGGAAGTACTTTAAGTGCTACGTATATCTTGACTCTGACCTGCACTTTGTCACACCGCAGAAGGCTCAGTGGCTCACGGCCTTACAGTTGACTGCAAGAGGCCCTTGTAATCTATCGGTGAGAGGCGTAGTTCGAGAGCAGTGCTTTGGGAGTGGTGATTGTGTAAGTTCTGTGCCTCCGTGCAGTGCTAACGCAAGTGATTGCTTTTCTACTGTAACGTTTGAAAGACTTTCTCGACATCCTGCAAATCGAGCCCACTTAGGCGCTCTTCGCAGCCCTGCCAATAGCAAATTATGTAGTACATTTTCAAAAACAAGATGCAAAGTTTTGCTGCAGAGAGCTGCTGGGTGGATTAAAGTTGGAAATGTGTGCAGTAAATGGAAGTGACTCTCTCCCCTGCTTTTATGATGTTGTCATTTGTAGTTAGATCATAATGTCAGTGCTTTGTGCTTGCAACATTGAACTTAATATCCGGGCAGAGGGTGCAGACAGAATGCTAAGCTATGGTTAGACCCCGGCTTGTAACCCTCGTCTACACTCTAGCGCTGAGTGCTTGTGCAGAAGGATGGATCCAAATGTTTGTTTGTACTAAATAAATAGCGTACCCTTTGAATGAAGCAACAAATTATAGTTTGTCTCAAAACAAGATGAGTTGCAAAGAGAAGTGACTCCTTGCTGCTGATTTGTGTCACACCAAACTCTGGCTGATGTGTCGGAACAAGCCAGGTTTCTAGCAAAATGTGGGCAGAAGGTACACTGGGATATACTGGTAGCTCTCTGGGTAACATGCAGCAGAAGAGTTTGTGCCTTCCAGTTGTCTAATAATAGCAACCTCTAAAAAGCTCTGCACCCTTCTTGCCTCGGGTTGTGAAGAAGAATGTTTGGAGGAGAAACGAGGAGTGCATTTATGTTTGAAAGTGCTTGTGGGTTTGGTTTTTGGCACTGATTCTTAAGCTTGGAGGAGCCCCAGGCTAATTCTCAGTACATGCCCACTTCTCTGAGTGACCATATTGGAACTGGCTTCGGTGGGTTGCTTGCTGGTTTTCGTAATAACAAACAAACAAACAGGAATACTCCACTCTTTGTTTCTGCAAGTCACTTAATCCCAAATCGTCGTTTTCTGGCACTGCAAAGGCTTGGCTTAGACCGCACAGATGTTAATAATTTTGCAAGAGCGCTTTCCTTTTCTGTCCCAAGGCCTGGATGTATTTGCACCTCACCTTTCTGTCCAGAAAAACGGCACTCGGTGTGGGGGGTGATCATAAACAAAACTGGATTCAGCCAGTAATAGAGCCAGCGCATTTAGACTCAAGAGTAACAGGAGAAAAGGAGAATCACTGGGGAAGCATCCGACCTTAATATAGGACCTTCCCCCTTAGCAACACTGCCGGGCTCTGTGTAGATCCCCTGACCTTTTTCTGAGAAAGTGCCTAACTAGACGTTACCAGAAATTCAGACTTCCCGCTGAAACAACTCCTCCCTTCCCTTTTCCCCCCTCTGTGGCCCTTCGGTCAGCATTCCTTGGCCCGGAGCTCACACATGCCCGCATCCGAGGTGGGCTGCAGGAGTGTGGCTTGATCCGGGGTGGACTTGCAGGCGTGAGAAGGCCAAGAGCAGGGGTTTCGGGATCAGCACGGTCCCTAAGGCGCTCGGGAAGGCTTCAGGCCAGCTTGTAAGAATGAGGAAGAGGCTTGTGGGCTGATGCAGGGACCTCTGCATCGGGCCAGGGCTTCTTGAAGTGAGCGCCTCTCGTTGGCCGCTAGCTCTGCGAGGAACCTGCCGTGCCTGCCCTGTGCAGAGCAGCCTGGGAACCAGCCCCGGCTTTTTCAGAGCACGTGCACTGAACGCTTGGGAACGAGCTTCTGATGAACGCACGGGCGCAGCCCCAGTGGTGGCAAGATGATTGTGCGACCGTCCGGCCCAGGAGACATTGCTGTCCCTACCTCAGCAGCGCCTAACTAAGCCCAACACGTGTACTTTGTGGGCTTGAGGTGTGCCGCAGCCGTCCCCAGCCTGGCACCCTGCAGCTGGCTGGAAAATTATGGCAAATACAGTGCAGCACATCTGGAAGGCACCTGGCTGAGGAAGACTGCTCCATAGCTGACCCAAAGCCCGGCACGGTGGTCCTGTGAGCCAGCACGTGGCTCAGTATATGCCACATCCACGTCCTTCCTGGCATACCGTGTAGCAGTAAGGAGAATGGCTTTGCAAGAGCAGCTAGCACTCCTGCTTTCGTGCACAGGCACCTTCCCCCAAAAGCAAAATCCCATGTTTTGGTCCATTTGGAGGGTGTGGGTTTTGTGTGCGTGTCTGTTTAAATTGGGGTGACTCTCTCATGCTGCACGAAGGAGAGACCCCCAGCCTGGCTCGGGAGCGGCATCAGGATTGCTGGCTGCAGGAAAGGGGTGCTTGTCTTTCAGGGACCCAAGGGAGCCACCTGCTTGGATGTCAGCAGATCAATGCCGTGCTTTCAGGTCGCTCTCTGCCATGGCCCTTAATAGCACCGGATCAATAGGGATTTCAAGACTGAAAGCGCTTCTAGGGTTTCGTGCTATTCCTGGCTCTTTTGGGGTTATGCTGGAGAGCGTTCCTCGTGCTTTGGCTTTCTGTACAGCTCGCTTGAAGGCTCTTCTCCTGGTGCCATCATGGTTTAATGAGGCGATATGCGACTAAAGAAAGCTCGTTATCGCGCCACCGAAGACATCAAATTCAGCTCAGCGAAGCCCGGCATCCTTAAGCAAAGCCATACAGGGGAAAAGCTTCGAGTGCTGGGGAAGAGCTGTGCTGTTGTCTAGCCAGGCAAAGCAAAACTAACAGGATAGCTACACCTCAGATCTTTTTTCTTATTTAAAGATTCTGTTTTTCCCGTTTTAATGTGAATTATGGCAGCGCCTTGTCAAAATGAACCTAGTTTGAATGGAAATCAGGACTTAGTGCAAATAAACATGCTTTAGTATACACCTGCAATATCGTAAACCTGGATAATGAACACTGTTGGGTTGTTGTGCCATTCGTGTGAACGTTCCTTTAGTGTACACAAGAAGATACGGGTCCCTGCCCCAAGAGGCTTACAGTCTGGAAGCAGGCACAAGGAAGGCAACCAAGAAGTGGAGGGAAATGGAAACAAGGGAAGAGACTGCAGTCACTAGAAGCTTGTGCCGAAGGTATTGCAGAAAAGTCAGCTTTGGGGAAAGGATTTGAAGGATGGACGAGAGAGGACCTCACGGAGGTGTTTGGGAGGGTGTCCCAGGGTTGCCCAGGATCTGGGAAGCAACAGCGCCCTGCACCCCATGCAGATTGTCCCCTGATTGCGTGGGCGATCTTGTACTCGGCATTGCTGTGCCCTCCAATTACCTGTCGTGGCTGCAGGCCCCCCCTCCTGCTGAGTCACCGTGTAAATCGAGACACGTTTTTGCTGCGTGTGCTCCGGCAACAGCGTCTGCTTGCCAGCACCGCGTGGGATCGATGGCTCCCGCTCTGCTCTCACATCTGCACAGAAGTGAATTTTGAATGTGTGATCTGGGTAGAAGAATTTGTTCCGCACTCCTGGACACGCAAAACACTTGTCCTGATTCATGCTCTTGCCGTCTTACTGCTGTCTTGTAAGGAAGGCCTAAAGATTTGCCCCTTTGGCAGAGGAGTGAGGTGACCGGGGGTGGGGGGGGGTCCCTGAGTGACAATGGTCTCGCCATCCCTGCACTGTCCTTAGCATATGCAACGGGACCTCCCTAAATGCCATATAACTCATGCTGATCCGTACTGGGGCAAGAACCCTTCCTCCAGCCCCCGGAACCCTAAAACAAATAGGTTAGTTCCTAGAGAAAGGTATTTAAGATCAGTTTCAGGTTTTGCCTGCTTACTGTGGAATAAATCCCTTTAAATTTAATAGGGATTGCTTCTGAGTAAACACCCACGGACTGGCTCCAAAATCTTTTACTGAGGCTTGGAGCCAATACCGTCATCTGGGTTTGGGAACACCTTTGCTCAAAGGATAAAGCCACATTGCACAGGTCTGTTTTCCTTGCCGTTTGCAAACACGCTAAAGCAGCAAGACGGGGCCGAGGAAAGTAGGCCCTGCAAGCCTCGCCGTCCGTTTGGGGGGTCCTGAACACCACGAGCCAGGGAGCTTTCCTGCTAAGCAGTGGCTGTACTTAGGGGCACCCAGCAGCCTTGGCACCGGCTAATGATCTCTAAATAGGTTCACTCAGAAGAAAGTCTTGTGCAGGTCCTTGGGACACGCTCCCGAGCAAACGAGTGTCAGGAGCGTGGCAGCAGGAAAGGTTGAAAATTAGAGACCTTTCAGGGGAAAGAAGTGGGGAACTCTGGGGTGCAGAATAAGATATGCACTGGGGAAAGAGAACGGCGAGGCGGTTGAAAGAGGAAGGACCAGAGAGGCCTGTTTGTGCGGAAGGAGATGGGAGTTGGGGTCACAGGCTTGCCGCAGATGTGGGCGGTTTGGAGCCAAGAGAATTCCGTGGAGTGTTTCAAAACGGAGTTAAAGAAGAAGATTGGTGCAGGCTTCCCTGAAGGAGAAAACGGCCCTGCCGTGAGTCACACCTGAGTGAAACACGTTTCTTCACGTAGTGATGAAGTCCTCTATCGCATTACTAACACAGTGTAGACGTTGTCCTCAGAGTACCTCGGGATGTGGCCCGGTGGGCACTGGGCTAGCAGCCTCCATGCAGCCAGGGCACGTCTCTCTGTAAGAGAGGACCGGGAGAGGAAAACCACGAGCATCTCGGTTTGGCAGAAAGGCTGTTCGGGAACTGTCCGTGGCTTTGCAGAAGTTCTGCCCCTTGGAAGAGGCATGCTAGGGGTGCGAGCTCCACAGAGGAAGCCCCGCTTCCGTGCCGTGCTGCTCGGCCGCGCCGGCTGCTGTCGAGGCCCTGGTGCACGCTGCCCTCTCGTTCTTCGTCCTCAGGGCCAGTCCAGGAAACCATGCAGTCATCTGGGCATCGGTTCCGTGACGTCGAGCATCACCCGCTGCTTGCTGAGAACGACAACTATGACTCCTTGCCGTCGGAGTCCGACGCGGCCGAGCGAGTCTGGTTCATCCGCGACGGATGCGGGATGGTGTGCGCGCTGATGACGTGGCTCCTCGTCGTCTACGCGGACTTCGTGGTGGTGTTCGTCATGCTGCTCCCTTCCAAAGACTTCTGGTACTCCTTCATCAACGGGGTGCTTTTCAACTGCTTGGCGGTGCTCGCCCTGTCCTCCCACCTGCGGACGATGCTGACTGATCCCGTGAGTAGAAGCACTTCCCGTCTCTGGGGCTGCCCCTGGGCACACGGTGCTACGCAGGACCGGGAATTCTTCCCAGTGGGAATCGTTGGGCACCTTGGTAGCATAGAAGGGAGCAGGATCTGCTGGCAAAGCAGAGGCGCACGAGGCTGGTTCTGTCCCAGTGGTGAAACGCCAGCAGGGCCTATCGTGTCGCCTTCTCGGCCTTGCCTAGAACAGGCGTGTTGAACCCTTCCAGCCCAAGGCCGAGCGCCATTTCAGGGGCCACATGCGGCGCTGTGTAGGGCCAAAACTGAAAGGCAGCTGGGCCAACATACTTGATCAGAAAGGTTTTGCTACCAGGAACTGTGCCCTCTCCAGGTGGGGCAAGGTATTACACATGGGGCCCTGCACCTGCAAGCCGCTCGCTGTGCTCACAGGCATCACACCCAGCTCCACCACTCGCATCTCCCCAGAAGACTCTCAGCGCATCTGCTCCTTCCGCCTTAAGGTTCTTCGCCAAAACCCTCCTTTTGCATAAAACATTTGGTCCCTGACTGCTGTGTTGATCTAGTCCCATTCGCATGCATTCATCTCCTTGTTTTCCTTTTCCTTCGCCAAAACAAATCCTCCAAGTTCTTAGGGTGAATATTTGGCGCATATTATTATTCCCCAAACTCGCGTGTGTGCTGTTAACACAGTGGAAATAAATGCCAGCGTTCCCAGTAACGGGGCCTTGTCTGTCTGCCTGTCTGCCTTTTCTCTGCTCCGTGCCTTAGGGGGCCGTTCCCAAAGGAAACGCCACAAAAGAATACATGGAGAGCTTGCAGCTGAAGCCGGGAGAGGTGATCTACAAGTGTCCGAAGTGCTGCAGCATCAAACCAGAGCGTGCGCATCATTGCAGGTTCGTTCCCTGGCAGCCTTTGCGTCGCCTTCGGCTGAAAAATCCAGGGGTCCCAAGGCACGTGATGTGAAAAAGAGCAGTTGCGCTGTCATCTGCGTGCGCTTTTGTAATACAGAGACCTCTGTGTGTGTCTGAGAGAAATGGAACGAGCTGGTAATGTGATGCCTGGCTTTGTGCTCCCCGCACTGAAATGCAGCCCCTGAGAGGTTCAGAAAAGAAATTTGGACCCCGGAAAAGGAGGCTCAGCATCCTGGGCTTGGCCCGTCCCCGCTCTGCAGCGCCATCCCAACTGCCTGGCTTGGGATTCTGCGCGGCTGCTGTGGGGGACACGGATGCACAGCCGTGAATGCAGAGAGCCTTGTCATGTTTGTGCCGTCCGGCCCCGGCGGCTCCTGAAGCCTCGGTGCACCGTTGGCACAAATACCTGGAAGTGTGCGTTGTTGCTGCTTCCCCGAACTGAGCACTGCAGCATGACTTGGGTTGCACGTGCTTGGCCGCCGGCGGCGCGCAAGCAAAAGGCAAGGTCATCCCTTCTGAGCAGCGTCCCTTTTGTTCGAGCGAGCTGAGCCGAACCAGAGACAGAAGGCGCGGCTGTCACCCAGGAGCCAGCTGGCTTTTCTGAGCGCGGCCGCCTCTTCGTCGGCCCAAATCTCTTGGTACCTCTCCATTCTCCTCTGACAATCCATCTGAATGCTTGAGATCTTGGCGAAGCTTTGTGAAGGCAAAATGCTCGGTCCTTCTCAAAGCGAGGCGAGGGCCAAGAGGACGACGGTTGTGGGTTTTGTTTTGCAAAATGTGCCACTTGAAAGCCCCTTTAAAAGCCAAGTGGCTCCCGTTCTCAGATGCGGAAGAGGCCGAGGCTGTCTGTGTTTTCTGCAGAATACTTTTTATCAGAAGTGCAAATGGGAGCGGCTTTCCTACGAAATTATCGGGAAGTTTTGCCATTTCCATTAGAAGAGGCGCTTTAATTGAAGTAGCAACATTGGCCTGTCTTACTCAGTGATGAAGTCCTTGTATTATAAGTGGCCCAAATTGAATTTTGTGGCTGCAGTCCATTAGGCATCTCTGCATAAGCCTTGTGACAGCAGCAGTGCTGGTTCTGTGAGTCCTTGGACAGTTACAGTAGTTGGCCTTCACCGTTGCAGAAGAAATGTAGTGGTTGTTGCTCTGGTTCCTCCTTGGAAAAGAATCTCTGGAACATTTTGGCCAGTTGGTCTAGTGGCTAAGAGCACGGGCCTGGGATTCGGGCGATCCGGGTTCTAGTCCCTACGCAGCCGAGCGACTACCTGGGTAACTTTGGGCCAGTGCGTTTTTCTGCCACCCAGAAAAGGCATAGGCTTAAATATGCTTCTCCTCTTTACCAGCATTTGCAAGCGATGCATCCGGAAGATGGATCATCACTGTCCGTGGGTGAATAACTGCGTGGGCGAAAGGAACCAGAGGTTTTTTGTGCTTTTTACTGTGAGTAAGACGTGTTTGCGATCAATCTAGAGAAATAAAAGTCTAGCTGATGGATTTGGGAGCTTGAATTTGTGCATCAGGATATGCAGTAAAGGGCGCAGACCAACGCCGAGTACCCATTGGGCGTGTGGTCCAGTTTTTCCTGTGATGTGGCATCAGTCCCGTTGGCAGTGGTGTGAGTTTCTTTTCTTTTCTTATTTTATTTAAACTTTTATATCCTTTCCTATACATAGAAGTCTCCGAATGCCAGGCCAGACACAGTCTGGGAACCTTAGGGAATTCCGAAAGGACCTGGGGATGGGACAGGCGCTCAGATCTTAAACTGGGTTTTCCACGACTCCACTTCTATGAGTGCTTGGGCCAGCCACATCATGTGTACACACACACACACACACACACTCCCAATCGTGAGCACGCACGGTTCTAGGTGACATACCTGGCAAAGGGGCGCACGCCTTATAAAGCTGACTTCCATCTTCTCCTCTCCCTTCCAGATGTACATAGCTCTGATTTCAGCTCATGCCCTCATCCTGTGTGGGTTTCAGTTTTTCTCCTGTGTGCGAGGACAGTGGATCGGTAAGCAGACGCCTGTGCCTCGGGTGTTTGGCCGCTTTTCGGGATCTCTAGGTGGGCTTTGCCCCCACTTCCGCAACTGGAACCAAGATACAGGTTGCTACCAAAGCAGGGTTATGGCTTTATGTGGGTGAGGCAAGAATTGTAGCAAGACGGGCCGATCGTGAGGTCAGCTTGTGTATCTCTCCCACGCCGCAACATGCAGGGCTTGGGCTCTGTTGTGAATAACGGCCCTCCTCAGTAGTGGCAGGGCAGAACCTCCAGATGTTTGTTTGGCAATCGCCGCAGGCTCTACCGAGCATGCCCCATGGCAAGGGGTTGTGGGAGTTACCAGCCAACATGTCTGGCCGGCAGCAGGCACCCTACCTGTTTAAAGAAGAGGCATGTGGACACCCGAAGCCACTTCACACGCGAAGGCTTGTTCCTCGCTGGGAGACATTTGTGCGAAGGGGCAGCTCTGGGCGGAAGCAGGCGGCTTTTCCACATGCAGTCGGTCCTTAAACCTCCCCAGCAATGGAAGTTTATGCCTGGACTGGCTGCGGGGCATCCCGAATTCAGGCTCATTCCCTCTCTCTTGCAGAATGCAGTGACTTTTCCCCACCTGTGACTGTGATCCTGCTGATATTCTTGTGCCTTGAGGGTTTTCTGTTTCTTACGTTCACCGCGGTCATGTTTGGCACTCAGATCCACTCGATATGCAATGATGAAACGGTAAGAGTCTCTGTGTGGGTTTGTGTTTCTACCCTTCCCTTTCTCCATCTGGAGAGCCTTCATGGCTGGATTTGCATGCCTTCCCCACAGAATGCTGAGATGTTGATTCTTGGCTGCCGTTGTCCCTGAATTACATAGCTTCTGTTTTGAAGTATCAGTCTGCCTCTCTGTCTGTATTTTACAGGAGATTGAAAGACTGAAGAGCGAGAAACCCACTTGGGAACGGAGGCTACGCTGGGAAGGAATGAAATCGGTCTTTGGCGGCCAGCCTTCTCTGCTATGGATAAATCCTTTTGCTGGATTTCGAATTAGACAGCTGGTGCTAAGAGCCAAGAAAGGTGGTCCAGAGTTTTCTGTTTGAGCCTGCCCAATCATGCTGGAACTTGCAAAAAAAAAAAAAAAAAAAGTAGTATATTGTATTTATTTTGGGCACCAGCAAAAGAGAGGGAAAGAAAGCTGCCACCTGTGACCAGTGAAGATTGACCCACATGAACCATTTTGCTTGTAGCAAGCAGAATTTTATACATTTATAGTCACAGACATCTCATTAACTCTCAGAAGTGTAAACTGGATATACTCCCGCACATAGTTTTTGAGCAAGAGAAGCAAACAGATCCAAGGAGGGTGGATCGTCACACTAAAGAAGCCAAACTATCGTCTTTACTACTGTAACTTATTCTTTTAGAGGATTAATTGTGCATTTATTTTTGTCAACCCCCTTCTCTTTGACGTGTGTGTGCTTTTTTTTAAAGAGTTGATCTGTGCTGTTTCATGAAACTGTGTGCCAAGAAGGCACAGTTGTCAATTATGACACAAATGCTGGAAATGATTACCAAAAGCAATCCATTTCATCCTGATACTTATCAGGCGACCATTAAGGACCCCCATCATGTAACATTTTTTCTTTGTCTTGAGATCCCTCTGAGCTGTATCTCTGCATGTGAATATCTCTACGGGCCCATGATTTATGGCATAACCAAAAACATAAAGTTAACCCGTGTCCGGAATTTCCTTCTTCTCACTAGATGCCTTTTTAGGATTAAATTTAGGATGCTAAATATGCCGCGGTCATTTGGCAGTGCCATATCCCGCCCCCAGATATTTGTGCCAGTTTGCTGGTCATAATCGCTTCAGGAACTCATTTTCTGCCACAGTGGTGCATCTGAGGACGGCTTTTTGTCTTTATGCAAGGGAAAAGTGGGACCAACGACAGAAGATCCCGTGAAATGAATGTGTTGATGGTTGGAAGTCCAGCCCCCAAAATCTCTGTTGCTTTTCGTCTGTCCTTGCAGAAATTGGTTGCAAAATAGGCCTGCAGGACCCAGGGCAGAACCAGGGAACTTGCTATTCCAAGTGAGAATGTTTTTGTCATTATACTCCCCCAATTCTTCAAGAGACGTGTAGTTCGCCAAGCGAACTTGCACCCAGATCCAGGCGTGCCGTTTGGAGATCAGTCATGCTGATTCCAGACAGCCTTCAATGCCGGTGCGTCACTCTCCACTTGAGCACACCAGTGTCTGTGCATAGAGACCTCCACAGAGGCGCTTCTGAGTGTGTGAACTGGCCCCTCCTGAAGTGGCTGCTGGGAAGGCAGGACGGCTCAGTAGACATCAGAGCTCCCACACAGGCCGGGAGCGCTCAAGAGGGACCATGAGTGTGTGTCGCATTGTGCCGCCTGTGATTCTCGACATCTCCTTGGAGCCGTGCCAGCCTGACCGCGTTGTTTCATCGCAGCGGCATTTGTTTGCCATTACAAACGGAAAGCTGCTCGCTGCAGGCACAACTGCTCCCGAGCTGCTCGAACGAGTTGCGTAAAAGCAGTTTTCTGGCCCCGTGTAGCAAGAAGCCGCCGCATGCTTCTCTCTGAAATCTGAGAGTACTGAATTCTCTAAATAGAATAAGCTCAAAATAATCCCAAATTGGTCTGTTCCTTTGTTTTTCCCATCCTCCGTTCCTTTAATGTCACCCAATAATTCAGCATCGGGGAGACAATCTAAATTTTGAGCCTGCCTTTGCCTTGGCTAAAAAAAATCTTCCTGTGTTTAAATTTGCCTTAAATATATCGGGGCCAAGGTTTTGCTTCCAAGCTTAAGGACACGTTCACCCCAACATCTCCCACACCTGGAGAGCGACTCCATTCCGTGCTTAGAAAATGGCAGGAGAATTTCCATGATAAAAGCAGGCTAGGAAACTTGACCTCATGTGCTTTTCTTTTCTCTTCATGAAAGCCCCCTTTTGAATTCCAGCCCACACGTTAATTCAGCCTTCAACAGAAGTTTAAATTTTCCTGTAATTCCCTGCAACTGTATGACTTGTAGGGGGCCAGGAGTACAGACTGGTTGCAGCAAGAGTCCTCCAAATTCACTCGCCTACACAGAGGTGCATCATCACAGTCTGTTCTCAACTGTGGTTCTTGCGTACGCATGTGAATGTTCACAGCTCTTTTGGGGCCATGCAGCAAGCTGATGAATGAAATTTGACGCGGATGCCTAAAAATATGCAGTGAGTTCAAGGAGATCCTTTCCTGTTTCTGTTTCGCACCTTCGCCTCATTGGGGAACCGGTTATATCTGCCTTTATCACAAGAACCTTCTTATGTACGCCATTTGATGAAGTGTAACCTCTGGAACTCGGCAAACCCCCCTTAAAGCAGCTGACCCGTGTGTGACTTAGCAAGTGTGTGTGGTGTGCGTATGAAAATGGAGTATCTTGGCTTTTCCGATCCTTATTCTGTTGTAACTTTTTTAAAAATGTAAAATAAAGTAACCAAAAGAAGGCTTGTTGGGCATTCAACTTCATGGTGAGGAAGAGGATGGAGCAAGAGGGCGATGCTTTGAATGCACGAGCAGCAGCACCCGGCACCTTCGTAAGTGGGTGGACAGAGCCCGCTTGAGGCCTGGGGGAGCTGGAGGCCATCAGGAGAGGTGGTCTGGGCCAGATGAACCACCGCTTTGTGCTGCTGTCGCTTTTAGAATATTCCTTTGCCCAAGGACAGGAGGCTGCCGATGTGTGCTTGCGCCAGGCTTAATATCCAGCGAACGTATCTGGTAGCTCGCAAGGTTTGCCTTTCTCATTCCTCTCTTGTCCACCAAGGGGGCTTCACAGGAGAGCAGCAGACCGCGAGATCTGTGGGGATTCATGCATCCCCTCTGTTCCCACCCCTAACAGTGACCCTCTTCGAGAATAGTGGTAGACAAGTACAGAAGGCCCCCCTCTTGGTGGCTAGGATTAAATTTAGGGCGTTCGCTGGGGAATGCACTGGAACACGTGCAGCCACAGAGCCATGAGAAATAATTCATCGTGTCTTCAGACACTGGAGATGGCTTTATTTAGTCCATATGGCTAATAGGCTTGCCATGCCCTGCTGCCAGTGAGACAGATCTATCCTAGACTTTCACGGGCTACCTTTCCTTAGGTATGCATTTAGACTGTCATTTAGAAAGATTCCCTAACTGTCCAGACGAAGCAGTGAAGTATAAATTACATGGTTCACTCCTCTATATATTTCTTTCATGACTTTTATTATGACCCTAAGAACACCACATAAGTTGAAACTAGGTATGTTACCTGTTTTAAAAATGGCAAAACTAATCTTAAAACCTTGGTAAGTTCTAATGACACACCGATCCAACGAAAACAACAAACTGGAAGAGAAACCACGAATCACAAGAAATAACATGGGGTGAACGTCAATTGAATAGGGATTTTTGGTCTGTGTGGAAACACAGTCTTAGATTCTCACCAAACCAAGTCAGTATTCGGTTTCAACAGTTACACAACAGAAAACAACCACAGCATGATGTACAGTCTATGCTCTAGCAACCAGGAAGTGCTAGAAACGGCACTTCACATCCTGATAGAGCCCTGGCTCGTGGATATTGGTTATTCTGCAGATAAGTTGGTTCTGACTACGCACTGATACTTGCCTCCGTCAACATTCAGCATTCGACATGGTGTTGGGCCCTCCTCAAGCAACTAAACCCAATGGAGGTACATCTCTTTGCTGAAAACTGTGGTATCTGCCCAGCTGTATGGAGCTGGGACCTTATACCCTGACTGTGGATCTTGCCGCTGTGTTTTGCATGCGTCTGGATGCCGTTTGACTCTTCCAAGTCTTGCCTGGAGCACATGCACAGGAGTAGGGGAAACAGAAGCTCTGTGGCAGAGAGAGCTTGAAAGACCTATGCATACCTTCTGTTAATTTTCATAAATGAAGCATGGTGCAACTTGAATAGCAGTTTATCGGTCAGACAAATGATGGGGTCAGACACCCTAGAATGCTAAGTGAGGAAAGGACAGCGTAAGGACAGTGTCGGCAGGTAAGTTCTTATCAATTCATCCAATAGCCATCATTCTGTTGGTTGGACGGTTCTCCAAGATTTTGTAGATGAGATTTTGCCGGTTCTACCAGCCTGCAGGTGTCGACTGCCATGTGGGAACGAGGCTTGCTGGACTTGAGAAAACTCGAAAGGTTAAGGTTTGATTTCTTCAGCTTGCTGGCTTGCTTTATAAGATCTCCTGCTTGGGTACCACTACCTGAGGCAAAAGTGTGGTAGGCACTTCAGAGCCGGGTGTCAGGCCTAGCTTGTAATCTTCACTTCCTGTACTGGTGGAAGGAGAAGGAAGGGACGTTTCAGGAGAAGCTGTAGAGGAGAAAAATATTGAAAAGGTGCGGTGCACTGTGGTTTCTACTGGATTTGGTTTGCACGCTCTTCCCACCTCGATGCTTTTTATGGAGCTCTCGGCAAGATGCCCGAGCTGATCCGCTGCCTTCCTGCCACCACCTACTTGCCCTGCCCCTGAGACACCTGAGCCCAGATCTGCTCTGGGGGTGATGAGGAAGCACTCCATGAACAACATTCAGGCCTAATGCTGCCCTTCATGAGATCCAGAATAGTGTGTTGGAACAGGCCGAGTATTTTTAGCAAGCACCCAGAGAACTTATTTCTCTGCAGCAAGCCGGAGGGCCTAATTCCAATTCGGAGAAGCTCTTAGGGCTGCAGTCTGGTGGTTGGCATGGCTGAAGACAAAAGGGGAAGACCCTCAAAGACCACCCAGTTTCAGCTTTAGAGTTCTTACCACCAATAAGCAAACCTTAAGAAAGACTTTTTAACATCTGATTTCCCCCCCTGCTTTGCCTATTCAGGTAACACCACTCTGGCTTTCTGTTCACTCATTGCAACGGAGACATTTGGAATCTCCAACATCTTTGGAATAGATTTCTAAGTGTTTAAGGAGAGACTGGAGATGCACAAGGCAGGCGTGTCATGAGTGGGGCGGCTGCAGCCGGGGGTCAGACTAGACAGCCCAGGAGACCCCTTCTGACTCACTCTGTTTCTCTGTTTCTATATAACGCCATCTTAGTCAGATCGCTAGAGCATCTACTCCTACATTGTGCCTACTCTGACTGGCAGCTCCTCTTCAGGATGTTGAGGGTCTTTCCCTGCCTGGTCCCCCGATAACATCTTAATAGCCAGGAGCTTAACCAACGCTTTTGTGCATGCAAAGCGTCCTCCCTTTTGCCCCTGAAAAATCACCCCAGTTCTTTAAAAATTAAACCTGCAACGTTTTTAATTGGTGCAATACTTAGAAAATTGAGCACCTACAGACTGAAACGGCGTGGATTACAGAAGCCATGTTGCTGGGCAGCCCAATGTGACCTGAAAGTGGTTCTATGTTTAGGCTGGACGGTCCGGACTGGTACTGTGGAACATCAATGGTGCTTCCTGCAGGGCAAGAGAGAACGCCAGCCAAATGATTCTGCCAAACGGGGATGAGCAAAGAGCAAGAACGCAAATCATTTTCACACTGCCACCATCAAATCTCTAAAACCTTCTTCCAAGAAGGGAGCTTAGTAGACTCTATTCCAGGTGCCCTTTTCATGCAGGCATAGACCTACCACCTACCTGAGGGACACCCTCAACCCTGACGGCTCTTGAGGCCACGTCTTGTGCTGGACGCAGGACTGGAGGTCACACTCACAGAATCTAAGCTCATTTGCACACACATGTGAGCAATGCGTTTCTTCCCAACACTCAGAATTCACCCAATCTCCACATAAATGCCTGCAACGGTCTCTCTCACGTACTTTTCATCCCATCCCACCTATTTTTCCGGTTGTATTTATTTATTCTATTCCATTCCATATTTTAATAAAGAATATAATAGTCCTTCTAGAACTGCAGTTAGTAGCTGCATAGTGAGGCTGACAAAACCCCCAAATTCCAGCTACTTAACCTACAGTTTTCTTACTGTGTTCAAAAACCACTTGAGATGGGGAAAAAACAAAGAAAATAAATTATGTCTGTGCCCAGCGATGAGGTGCTTTTTATCCTACTCTGTTTCGCTAGGATAAATGACAGAAATGGTCGCTGTAGCATGTATAGAACAATAAAATGCAGTTTTAAAAAGAAAAAAGCAGAAGTCGACCCAAGGAATCAGGTTTGGGTGTCTGCAGAGAATTTCCTTTCTGAAAACCACAAAGGACTTCAGGAAAGAAAGAAAAAAGTCAAGCAACCATTTTGCAACCAATATTTAAAAGGATTTAAACATTTCCCAAGATACAAGGAAGCGGGTGGCGTTTCCTCGTTCTCTGACTGTGCAATACAGGGATTGTTTGTGGGGCTCTGAAAATCCCAAGAAACATATAAATGTTGCTTGGTTTAGTGGTATCTCCTGTGAGCTTCCAGGAAGTCCTTCTCATCCAACGGTACCAGCTTCTCGGCATACCATAGGGAATATGTGCAAAAAAAAGCAGAGCCATGGATGGACAGATCTAGGCTTCCAGCTTTCTCCCACAGCAAAACAGTCGCCATTTTCAAGGCATATGGGAAGAAGCAACCCCCCACCCCATTTCTGTACCTCCCAGGAGCATCTCTTGCAGCAAGCTGTCTATCCTCGCCACACCAAAGAGCTTCATAAACTGGACCTGCTCGATCATCTGCCACGTGATACTTTGCAGAGGAGGGAGGAGGAGGAGAATGTCGCTGAATCGCCCTCGCGAGTCGTACTGCCGGTCATTGATGTAGTCCTCCAGGTTCACCTGCACCTGGAAACGCATGTTCTTCACCTTCCCAGGCTCACTCAGGCCTTTGCAATCTGGGACAGGAGGAGATGGGCTGGGTGAGCATTTGCCCCTGTTGTGGAACGTGTTCATCCAAGCTTTACTCTTCCTACTGCTGGAAACACCCCCCTTGCACATCCGCGGTGCAGAACCTGTGGCCCGGAAGCCAAATTCGGCCTGCCTGGGACCTGCATTCAGCCCTCTGGTCTTTCTCAGATGTCCGTGCCCCTTTTGAGCAACTACGGATCGCACAGCAGTTCTCCAGCGTTTGTGCTGATTTTGCCCAGTTTTAAGCGGTTTAAAAACCTCTGTGCCTTAGTTCCTGGCCATAAGAGTATGCAGGCATTTTGGGTGATTTTGGCTCACCCACCAGCGGACGCCAGCCTCCCAGAACTTTTTATTTTCTTTCTTTATTTAGCACTTCTGTATCGTCTTGTAGCCACATGGCTTTCTAGATAGTTTACATAATAACTCTTCGAAGCAGAAAGAGGTTTTGAGCTTACACATCTCTGATCAGCAGTAATCAGGTATTTAAACCGCTGGTGAAAAATTAGTTTGTGTTTGCATCGGTGTAACTGAACAGTGTGATGGCTGCAAGAGTTACTTTCTTAGCTTTGTGTATTTTTTTATACCTCTCTTCTCTGCTGAAGCTTTCAAGAGGGCTGACCACAAAAGTATTGGAATACATCAGGACACAAAAAAGATTAACACTAAAAGGGATAGTGCTTGGAACAAGGGTGGGGGACATCTGGTCCCCCAGATTTTGTTGGATTCTTGCTCCCATTGACCTCAGCCATAGGTCTCAGAGGCTGGAGCTGATGGGACTCAAAGTCCAACAACATCTGGAGAAGGTCCGCTTCCTCCAGTATTACTTAGAACAGCAAGGGGACCACTGAAGTATCCAGAAGACAGTGGAGAAGGACCTCTACAGCAATGTGACAAAAAGCAGGGTGGAATATGGGACCATTTCCAGGTCTCGTATGAGACAGGCAGGCCATGGAAACATGCCACTTAATTTCTCATCATCTTCTGATGATGAGTAGGTTTGCAAGGAGATTATGTGAGAGGACCATACCTGGATCAAAGAACACAATGGCTTTGAGGCAGGCATACTCATTATCATCAATCTGGATTTCTCGTAAGGGCTTCACTAGCTCATCCAAGATCCTGGTAGCCACACGGGCAATCTCCAGTTCCGGGCATTGCATTGGGATGATGAAGTCATTTCCTGAAGATGAGGACATAGAAGAACATCATGCCTGAAGGCCAACGTTTCATGCCGATATTGAGAATTGTTCCATTGTAGTGTACAAAGGACCACTTTTTCCACGCAGGAGTGAAGAAGCTTCTACAGTTAGAGTAAGTCTATTTAATACCCTCTGCAGGAAGCTAAGGTACAGTTTTCAATGCCTGACCTGCACAGAGAGGTTTCAGAGGTACCAAAAAAAGGGGGTAACTAAATGGCAGAAAGACGGAGCGTTGATTCAATGAAGATGACCTACAGCAGGGTCAGGCAAGCTGATTCTCTCCAGCAGGGCCCCAACCCGGGCAGGAGAAGGTACCAGGGGCAGGTAAACTAGGAGGATGCAGGGCCCAGGAGATCCTGCAAAGGCAGGCAAGGTGCTAGAGCTGAAACTCCCTCAACGAAGAAGAAGACTTGTGATGCTGAGGCAGCCACTGGAGGGAAGAGCTTGCTCTTATACAGCTTTTTCAGCCGGCACTCGTCAGGGGACTGGGCCCGATCCTGCAACTACCACCATGGCCATGCTGGTTCTGGCCACCAGATGGCGCTCTGGCTCTGCCAAGATCCTTCCAAGCAAAAGGGACAGGGCCAATATGCTCCAAGGGGTATCCTAAGGGAAAACCCTTACAGGCAATATTTACCTCTGATAAGAGGTGCTTCAAAGTTGTTCGGGTGGGATGAAAGCCCACCAAAGCTGGGAAGCCACCCCAAACTCTGGGGAAAGAGTATGGCCATCTGGGGCAGGATGGTACCCTGGCCAGCAAGACCGGGCTCCAGGCTGGAGGTTTCCCACCCAGAGTGTGAGCATCCATGGGAGCAGTCTTCCTTGGTAGGAAGGGCTCTGCTTCCAGAAGGACCTCAGATTTTAGGGACCCCATGGATGGACCTCGCCCAGGCAGTGGCTCTCCTGACCCTTTGCACAGCATCTTAAGGGGCCTGGAGGGCTGGCTTCCCTCCGAGGAAGGGAAAGGAAAGTCCACTTACGTCAGTGCAGTTGATCCAGAACAAATCTGGATCCAACCCTGTTCCTTTCCCAGAATGCAACATCTCCCCCCCTTCCTTCCCAGTAATAGCAGTGCCAAATTTGCCCCACGGGAGTCATCAAATTAAGTGGCAATGCACAATTTGCCCCAGGGAACCAGAATATCTAGAGGCAGAATGCAAAGAGATATTCCAGATGTTATACTCTGCTCCCCTAATAGCAAAAAACAGCAAAAAACAGCATATTGTTGGTTTTAAAGCAGAGGGGAGATAGAGGCCTGGGTTGCCACGACTGGGAGAACCAGATGACTGAGCGCTTTGTCTTTGATTACCTAATAACAGAAAATCGGTGTATGGGATAGAACGCTTTGCAACTCCCAAGAGTAAGTGTTCTCCAGCGTGGGCTCTTAGCAAGGCAACCTGTGGGTGGCAAGAGAGAAGAAAAGGCTATTTCCTGCTTCAGGAGATGGTTGGGCAGAAGGTCTAGACACGGCACATGCGAGAGAGCCTAACTGAGAGGCAGTGTGGTGTAGTGGTTAAGAGCATGGGACTGGGACTCGGATGATTCGGGTTCGAGTCCCCGCTCGGCCATGGAGCCAACTGGGTGACTTTGGGCCAGTCATAGACTCTCAGCCCAGCCTACCACACAGGATTGTTGTTGTGGGGATAAGTTGGAGGAGGAGAATGATGTAAGCTGCCTTGAGCCCTTCGTAGGAAAAAGGCAGGATATAAATCGAAAAATAAAATAAAATAAAATAAAATAAATAAATAAATAAATAAAATAACTGGCATTTGCAGCGTTTTCTTCATCCTCCCAAGATTCATTGTGGGATTCAAAACATGTAGACACTCCACCATCAAATCACAATTCCCCCTTTGCCCAGCATGATTCTCCACCTGCTTTTGTGACATTTTGCCGAACAAAGGCACCTGAAGATCTCAAAAGCCTGCCAAAATTTTGGTAATGTTTTGGTTAACCTAACCAAAATACTGTGTATTTGGATAGGATGAATTTCCTGTGAGGAGGCGGTTTTTACAAAAACCAAGAAAAGTTGCCCTTTTTCACCTGGTCGTCCAGCGGAAGTTCGCAGAATGCCGGGATGTATTTTGCCCACTCGACGAGGACTAAGAGCTGCTGCTTCATTGACTCACACACATCGTTGATGGTCGCGATTTTTTTCATTGCAAGGTCAGCGCTGTGCACTGGACGGAGAGCCGAATACTGTAAGAGGGAAAAAGGGGGAGGTTGCTTTAACTCAGCCTTCCCCAACTCCATCCCCACCGCAGTGTGTTGGGTGACAACTCCCATCATCCACAACTAGCTTGGCCAATGTCTCCCATGCGATGTATTTCTCTCCTTCTCACACCTGTAGCTCCGCACACCTTCATAAATCAGTTCCCCCAGCTGAGCTTGCATTTATCACATCCAGTTGGAGAATCAACCCTTCTTCCAGCAGATGGCAATACACCCCAGCTGTTTTATTGCCATTTGAAAGATTCAGAATGATCCACTTTTGAAAATGGAAACTGAGTGGAAAGTTTGATAGGAGGAACCTATGCGAACAAACCCTGAAATGTTGAGAGATGTTTGTCCTATGCATTTGTTTACAGGCGCCCAAGAACGATGAACTTTACCATTAGGAAAAGTGAAGCGGCCAACGCTGGGAGGCGGCAAGAAGGCCTTGAAAGAGAGAGGATGGATGTCCATCACATCTGCAGTCCCTCCTAAATTAGCCCATTGCTTTCGGGGTTGCTGGAGACGGTGTCCCACCAACAGTATTAAGTCAATTCAGCTGCCCATCCAGTTGGTGTTTGTTTATAGAACCACTTCAACATAGAAAGAGGTATCTTAAGTTCCTTATGTTAGTAAGATGTCTTGACTGAATGGGTGGACCTAATTCTTGTACAATCAGCCCCCAGTCTTTTGGAGCAGGTTCTACATGACCGTGAGAACCCCGGAGAAAGGGGCTTTCCTACCTGTTGTGCCATCGCCTCCGCCTGGGTCAATATGGTGATGGAGAGGGCTCCGTTGTCTTCATAGCTGCTTCTGCGGATGCTGATCCTGTCCCGCTCATTTTGAACGGCTGGCAAGGGAGAGAGAAATGAACGGTGGTGAGCCAAGAAGGTGTAGATTTGGAGGGTCATGCAATCAGTGGCTTATGGATGAAGGGAAGGAGGACCAGCACTCGTGTTAACAGCATCCCACCAAATGTTCATCCCCCTGGCCAAAGTCAGATACAAAGACACTTGAGATGTAGGCTGTTGGAAGGCTATTGGACAGAGAGCAGACCGAGTGAAGCAAAAAGTTTAAATATTTGCAGATCATTCAACTCACACAACCTCTGTTCCTGCCTACCAACACGCACACATACACACACAGTTTTCTAACAGCTTTGAAAAATTTCCTGCAATTTCATTGCGAAGTGCTAATATTGTAAAGTCTGGACCAGCTAAAAGGTAACTTGCACGTGAAGAAGAGAGAAAAATTCTTCATGAATATAAACTGAAGCTGATCGATGGAGGTTCCAGATGCTGCAGAGCGGTTGAGAGTTAAGATGGGAGTCGGAAGGTGCTTCACAGTTTTTACTGGATCAGGCTGACCTCCCAGGTCTGATCTACTCTGTGTCTGTGAGGACAGATATGGTTGTGCATTCAGAAGGGTATAAGACCACAGCTGAGAGCTACAGGAATAAGTACTGTGGACATCCAGACGGGGGCTTGCTTAGTGGACATATTTATAAGTTGTGCCTCTGCCAACACAGGTTGGTCCTATACAATGGAATAGATCTGGAGCTGTTTGACAGGCCAAAGAAACAGTAGCAGATGAAAATGGTGATGAGACTTGGTGAAGAGGTGGGCCATGGAGAGCATCATTCCCAAGGGACGTCAAAAACCTGGAGTCGATACTGCACATACAGGATTACCTTTCAGGAGAGGGCCAAACTGGACTTCAGATAGGCTTTTTGGGGCCACCTTACAGCAGTGAGCTGTGCCAAAAGCAAAAACTATCTCTCCAAGGCAGCAGTGGAATTCAACCCCAAACACCGTCAGCACAAGTGAAGATGGCACTGAGGGACTCCCTGGGCAGCAAGTCAGCCTCCCAGTCAAAGATAACAATAATTGCAAATTTTGTACGGAATAAAACAAAAATCAGAAGGCCAACGTGGAAGGTGCCAAGAATAGGTCCCAGGGAGACCATGTTGGGAGACTCCAGCCTCTAATCATCTTCAGGAACACCCTGTAAAAGTGTTTCTAAGCATGAGGTCATTGTTCTCTTCCAATAAGAGATCCATAAAAAGATCTCTCTTCTTTTTCATTTCATTTGTTGAAGAACCTCTCAGCTGAAGAAGGGTTTTTGTCTCGTGTGGGATTTTGACTACTGTGGGCTAAGCTTTACATACAAATGGAGAAGATTTGATTGAAAAAAAAAAAAAGAATTCTTCAAGTAGCCAAAGCAATTAGCAGTTCTTCAGTCACCTAAATCAGTAAGTATCGATACTTGAGTACAGAAAGAAGGAATATTGTTTTATGACAAGGTGAGGCCAGAGGGTAATCTGCAAAACATTACAAGGTGTGTCTCATAAAGCAGAAATGAGTGGACGATCTGATCTGATAAATGCAAGATCTAAGCAACATTGGTTTTATTAATGCTCCTATCAGAATCACACCCTTTGGAGAGCAAAATGGTACACCTTTTATGGCATGTGTTCAGTATTTTTCTTTTGGTGCTGATAAGAACCATCAAGCCTAATGCACGGATGTTCTTGAGATGGTTTCGGCTTTGTCGCAAGAGGTGCCTTGGAAGAAAAGCGCTAAGGTGCCAGGTGTAGTTAATATTCTACCAGCTCTGAAAATAAGTTATGATTAGCTGGTGAGTCTGCTGGTTGAAAAATGAGCTTGAGCGCTGTGTCACGTCTGAAGTGATGGGTGTGGAATCTTGCGTCTTCGCAGTAAGAAATTATTCAAGGCCTAGCTTGGAACCTGTGGTGATTTTCGGCAGAGTATCTGCTCTAAGAAAGGGAGAGAGACCCTAAGAGAAGGGCAGATATTGAGCGTTGCGGCTAGGTTCAAGCAGGACCAACCACACTGGTGGAAATGGACTTCTCCTTTTACTCTCATGGCCACCCCCTGAATTTGCTGCTCAGAGTCATGGGGTCCTGTGAAATGGGGAAGGTGCAGTGTTGGGAGATCCCTGGAAATGTGGTGAAATAAAGTCCTTTTAAAAAGAGGACAGTTCCTGGATCTAATGTGGGAGGGATTCGAACGGGAACATAGAGGCACTGCCCTGGTAATTTTACTTCTAGAATTGTGCCATTCAAAATTTATTTATTTATTTAAAACATTTCTATGCTGCCCCCATCGCAACAAAGCCTCGGGGCGGCTCACAACATTCATTAAAAAAAATACAATTAATTAAATACAAATACAATACAATTAAAATCCACCTTTCAGAGTCAGTGAAGTCAGAATATAATAATACCTTTGAAGAATGGCTATTGTTTCAATAGGAAATAAATCCAGTTTAGGAATTTAATAGGATTTACCCTCTGTATTTTTCTTGAGTGTTGCTGTTTATGCAACCGCTGGGACTGCTAATGCGAACTCACTCTCTGAGGATGTTTCTTTGGGAAGTTCTCTCGGCAGGATACACCAAAGAGTGGCTAGTCGGTTTGCACGGACTCTACAGCTTGCCTACTTCCAAAGCTTCCTTAGGAAAAAAAAGTTTTCTAAAATACTTTAAAAAAAAAAAAAAGTCCTTCTGGGACTTCAGCATGCTAAGATGACCCTGGAGTGCGTAAGGACCAATGGATGGATGGGTGAAAGCGAGAAAAAATCTGAGGAGAGCAACAGAAAGGAGAACCGTAGAAGAGGGTAGGTGAAGGGTGGAAAGAGTGAACAGGATCGATGCCATGTTGCGACATTTGGAGTCAGGGCCCATGTTACTGTTACATAGAAACAGAGCGAGTCAGAAGGGGCTTCCTGGGCCATCTAGTCTGACCTCCGGCACCAGCCGGCTCCGCTCACGACATGCCCACCATGTGGACGTCCAGCCTATCCTTGAACACCCTCACTGATGGGGCCTCAAGGACCTCCCGTGGAAGCCCCTTCCACGCCCTCGGGGTCCTGACTGTCGGGAAGTGCTTCCTGGCATCCAAATTGAACCTTGGCTCCCTGAGCTTGGCTCTGTTGGAGCGCGTCCTGCCTTCCTCTGCAGGGGAGAACAGGTCTCTCTCCACCTCCGTGTGACACCCCCTCACATGCCTGCATGTCGCCAGCAGATCCCCTCTGAGTCTCTTCTTCTCCAGGCTGAAGAGACCCAGTTCCCTCAGTCTCGCCTCGTGCCCCATCCCTGCAAACCGGCCACCAACAACACACAAATGAACCAGGAGCAAACAGAGAGGACCCCTTAGCTGAAGGGCTGGATGAGGAAGAAACTTTGGTCTGAATTCTTCTGCAGTGAAGAATCGGCTTGGAGAAGCTTCCAAGCCTGTCAAGCTATTCCCAGTCAAAGCTCTATTTAGTGGGTTGTCCTGTCCAAGGCTGGCTTGGAGTCTAAGGTACATAAGCTGGGCCAGGAAGTTTCCACCTGTGAACACCCGGACAACTCACAGAACAGGGAGACATGCAGATCCCTTCATCATACTCCACCCCATGGTGGGATAGCTTGTTTTCCACTTGAATAATAATCATTGCAAAATGTGTGCTTGCACATGTACTGTTACATCTATGTGAAAACTACACAAGTTGGTGCCCTCTTTCTATCTTCCCAGAAGAGACCACCCCACCTGCATTTCCATGAAGAGCTTTCCCTAACGCATCTGGACAGCATGGCAGCGCATTCTTAACATTGCATTCCCCCATGTGTGGCTCCCCTCCCTCAAACGTGTCAGACGAAGATAGGTGTCCATTGCTTTGGACCTCATCTCCCAGAAGCCTCTGCCAGCATGGCTGATGGCCAGGAAGGCCAGGAGCTGGAATTAAGCATATCTGAAGAGTTCTTGCCCAGACCTGCCTGCAATGTCATTTTGTAAGACGGCCACTCGGTTTAGATCTTCGCCCTGGATGGTCAGGAGGGTTCTGAGGCTAAAAGGCCTCATTCAGCTTTCTCAGCGCCAGGCAGCCAATCATAACAAGCTGGGAGGAAACCTGAGTGAACAGATTGCTCATGGACTGGGCAAGGTGGTGGTGGGTTGGTGGAGGGTGGGCGGGGGGGGGGGGGTTTGGCCGGGGTTTGTGCTGAGTCAGAAGCTCCAAGCTCTGCCAGAAGAATGAGGAGAAAAGCATCGCCTGGCACGGCACCGACCAACCTTGGCACGTTTGATCCATTTTGATTGCCGAGAGAGAAGCAAACATGCCCCCTTTTGTCTGATGCGAACAAAGGGCTGGAAAAAGTCTTCCTCGGTACAGAGACGCTTTGCTGTTGCAAGCCCCACGTTCTCTGAATTTCGGGGAACATTCCGCAATACAGCCTGCAAAACCTCACAGCACCTTCCAGGCCTGGAAGCTTGAACAAACAGGGCAGTGTTTGCTCTCCTGCTCTGCAGTGGAACCGCAGCCAATCAGTCCCCAAAACTTTCCATTGGTCTTGCATTGCCCCAGAGGGCAAGGGGGTGGACGGCGGCGGGGGCGGGCCAGGAACTGAAACCAGCGGTGAGCTGGGGGAATCAATACATGTACTAGGACAGGTTGCCTCTACGTCAAAGGCAGCGATATTCCAAAATGTTTGCTAGCAATATATACCCTGATCCAACCACCCAGGGGCTGAATGCAGTTTATTTACTGATGCATTTTTTCTTCTTTCCCTCCCCACTTGTCCATATGCAGACCTCAAAACAAGACAAACTCTGGAAGAGGGTGATGTTGTTTTGATGCTGCTTCAGTAAAAGAAAGGTATTGGGTAAGCTTTAAATCGCCACAAAATCACATTCTCAATGCATTGCAAAAGATCCAGAGGCTGGGGTAGAACAGTGGAAGCTTCTTTCCTGGGAGGAGAAATTGGAGGACAGATTTGGACATGGTATCACTGTCATCTTTTCCTGGAGGTGCCCAAAGCACTTTCCTCTTCACAGTTGCATAAATCCGGGAAGGGAAGGGAAGGGAAGGGAAGGGAAGGGAAGGGAAGGGAAGGGAAGGGAAGGGAAGGGAAGGGAAGGAGGAGCTGTGCTCCAGGCTATGATAATGGAAAGCCCTACCTGTGTCAAAATCTTCTCCCACCCTTGGCAAAAATCTTCCCTGGAATTCCTCTGCCCACAAATGGGGTGGAGAATTTTGAAGCCCATCTGCACACTGCCTAGTCTGGATCCCTGGTGGACCACCATCCCCTATTTAGACCGAATGGACCCCTGAGATTTTCTGAAGAGGCGGCACTGGGAACATCAGCTAAGCAGGGCAGGATCAGACCAGAGGGTTCTCTTCTCCCAGGGGCTGACCAGCTTCCCCCAGACCACTGTGTGAACAGGGTGCTGGACTGCATGGACCTTGCTCTGAGCCAGCCTGCTTCCTCTTGCGTTCTTCTGATTCAGCGCTGAATCATGCAAGTCACTATTGAAAAATGTGCCAAGGTATGGCTGGGGGTGACTCACAGGCACCCCGGAGCAAGTGCAAGAGGTGAGCATCGAAACAGGTGGCATGGAGCTCTGGATCAAGGTTTAGCTGTAGGCCACTTACCTTCTTTCTTCATTCCTGCCCGGAAACATTTCTTCAGCCGGCAGTATCGACACTGGTTCCTCTTGTCTTTGTCTATCACGCACTGCCGGCTGAACCTGGAAAAGAGAATAGGCCAAGCTAGAAGAGAGGAGAACATCCAGCCAACGGCCCACCTGGTCCAGCATTCTGTTGGACACGAGTCTAATACCATCCCCATTCCATGTTGCCCCTCCAGTTCTGATTCCGATTCTGAGGTTAAAACCCCGAGCAGCTGAATTTTGGGAGAAAGGAGCCTTCGCCATTGCAGAGCAGAACCTGGGCATAGTTACCTGCATGAATAAACGTGATTCTTGCGGACGCTCCTTCGGAAGAACCCTTTGCAGCCATCACAGCTGGAAGCCCCGTAATGCTTCCCGGTCGCACGGTCGCCACAGATGGCACATAAGGAATTGATCCCGTTTACCAGCAGGCTGCTGTTGCCTGAATCGGAAACAACGGCATCTGCAACGACAAAATGGCGGCACGAGAACATCAGTAAAGGGTGCTTTGGGATGGGAGAGAGGATGGCATCAGCCTCTGTTGAGGGATTGTGTTTTTGAGGGGTTCTCTACAGGAGATATTGACTGTGCCCTCGGGATCCCTTGCTCATGGAAGTCTACAGGTCTCTCCTCCCAGGGCTTTTCCAAAGCTTTGTAGCCATTTGTGCACCAGTCTGGTGCGTTCCAAGATGGTGCCATGATTAATCACAGAATCATGCCATTCTGTTCCTCAATGGAGCCACTTTGTCTTGTGTGATGGAATATATAGTAGGTACAGAGGGGCAGGCAGAGAAGTAAGCCCTTGGTGGAAGGATGCCTCAGTCCTCCCAAGAAGACAGCCAAGAGGAAGCCTCAGCAAACTGCCAGGTCGTGTGTGCCATGCCCTCCCAAGAGGAGGATGCACCAGAGGAAGAGGGAAGGAGCCAGCATGGTGGATCCCAGCCAGGTTCAGACAAACCAGACTGACAGTGCTGGAGTTCCACTTCTCCTTCTTCCTCTAGGAAGGCATACAAATATCCCTCATGCGTAGAAGCTCCAAATCGGAATTCAAGGGTTCACCAGGTGGTTGGTGTCAAATGTCTTGGGCGAGCCCTGAATCAGAGGATCATTGAATAGAAGAGTTGGAAGGGGCCAAGGAGGCCGTGGGTCCAACCCTGTGCTATTGCAGGATGCCAAGTCACACCATCCCACTCAGAAGGCTGCCCAGTTCCTTCCTGAATGTCTCCAGTGCGGGAGAGCCCCCCACCTCTCCAGGCAGCTGGTCCCATGGTCGCATTGCTCTGACAGTGAGGAAGCTCTTCCTGATGTCCAGCCTGAATCTGGGTTGCTGCAACTTGACTTGATTATTCCATGTCCTGCACTCCGGAATCGGCAAGAAGGGATCTTGGCCTTCCTCTTTGGGACAGGTTCTTATAGATTCCCTTCTTGGAGACTCTCCGAGGTTGCACTTCTGATCAGGTCAAGGGGCACCTGCTCTAGCATCCTTCTGAAGAACTCCAGGAACTAGAAGACTGGTCCACCAGAAATGAGTTAGAGATCCACGGTCTGCTTACTGCAAACCAGCCCAAAGATAAAATGGCAGCAAGTGCAGCAATGAACAGGGAAAGACAAGCACTGAGCCAGTGGGCCATGACTATAGAGTTTCAGGCGAGTCCCGCAACACAGAGGCAAACCGCACCTTGCTGGAGAAGGGAGCAAGCCAGCAAGCAAGCCGTCCAGGTCAGCAGCCAGTGTGTCCTGGGCACAGCGGTGAAGGGATTGTTCCTGGCCTGTTCATTATGTGCTGGCTCCAGAATTGCTCTAGCAGCAAAAATTGGGGCAACAGTGCCGTTCCAGGAATTGTTGTGCAAGAACAATAGAAGCCACGGTACAGTGTTGTGCAAGGCCTTGTCAAATGGCAGCACAACTCGGCGTGTCCATTCTCTTTCTTGCACAAGGAGCTCAGACTGAGGGTGCTTATGGACAAGGCAAGAGGGTGATTCTGGTTCCAGCTGTATTGAGGCAGGTGCCCTCAAGATGTGCTGGACTACAACTCCCATCTGCCCCAGGTAGCCTGTAGCACCTAATTAAAGAGGAATTCTAGGTAGATGCCGTGATGGATTAAAAGGAAGGAATGTGTCCCAGGCTTTTTAGACCTGGGAGCTCTCTGGTTCCACAGGCAAGCCAGGATATTGGGACTTTTCAACCCAAATCACCCTTCTGAAACTTTGTGTAAATACTTTTTGCAAGGCTTCATTGGCACCTACCATCTGTTGCTAGGTGGAACTCAGCTAAGTAAATGTTCTCTTGAAATTTATGATGATGACATTTTATTTGGCCATAAATATTAGCCAGTGCATGTATTTTCAAAAACAGAAAAACCTGGTGGATTGTTTGAAAGATGGGGAGAAAAATGGCAAATGCTACAATGACGAGAATACAGGGGGGAAGGAGGAAGATTTACATATTTTGATCCTTATTTACACACTTACGGAAAAGTCCTATGTGCTGCCCTTTGGTAGAACTTCCCAGATGATTTATAAAAGCAGGATAAAACAGGCAAATACAAATACACTGAAAGAGAGAGGTGACGCAGTATGGCATCAATCCTGGGAGTCTTCATAGAGATCCATAGGATCACACTATAAAATACACGTCAACGTTTCAGAGAATAAAAGCACCCGAAATGTTAGCACCCTGTGAGGATCTCTGGGAAGGGAATTCCAAAAATCGGTGCAAACACAGAGGCTCTTCTTGTCTTGCTTCAGAAGGGGGGCGGGGGTCTGGAAGAGGGCCTCTAATGGAGGCTTGGTGATTGGGTAGGTTTAGGTTTGGGGAGAGATGCTCCTTCAGCACCCAGCTCCTCAACCTTGTACAGTTTTCAATGTAAGCACCGGCTCTTTGTGTTATGCTCAGAAATGGGACAAAAGCCAATGAAATGCTCTGGGAGTGGTGGGAAACGTCCCCACCAGCGGGTCCCAGCTGAACATCTGGGTAGGTGTATTTGAAGCAACCGTGGTGGTTTCTGAGCACTCATCACAAGCACCCCATGTTCAGCTCATGGCAGAGGTTGATCCTAGAGCGTGGATAATGGTGGCCAGGCTGTTTCTGCCCAGAAGAGGACTCAACTGGTGTAGCAAAGCTGATGGAAGTCATGAGGGGGCTTTTGTGTGACAGGGCAGCACCCATGAGGCTTGAGGATTGGCTGAGCCAAGCCAAATTGGGAGAAGAGGAAGAGGAAGAGGAAGGGCTTGTTTGTCAACACTGGTTTGTTTCAAGAGTGGACCATATACAACTAGTGTGTGAGTCCAGATTTTAATACATTTGTGACAAGAAAAAAGGCATAAATGGGCATTTAGTTCATGTGTCAACCTGGAGAAATCATGAACTGCTTTGCACCTGCGCAATATTAAGTCTTTTTTTAAAAACAACAACGATGACCCTGTACCAATATTAATATTATGAAACGCTCTCAGGCATCTCCAGCCAGCCTACTTTCCACCCCACCAGTAAGGTTGGTCACAAACTTCCACAGTCATTTTTGCAGCCATTCCTCGTGGGATGTGATTTTAGGATTCCTCCTTAGAGGAACCTTTCAAAACATGCTTCCGTCCTGAGTAGCTTTGGGCAGGAGAATTAGTCCTACACTTTAAAAAACAACAGGAACAACAGGGAGTCTCTGAGATGCATTCATGGTGAGAATTCTCTGGCGAAAAAAACACCCACTCAGTCCAAAGTCCACAAGCACTTTGGAAGTAACGAACACACCACGTGCCATGCAGAGATTTACGGCCCAGTCTTGGGGATGGAAACTGAACCTTTAAGGAAGTGTATACTATACAGTTGATCTTCGGTATGCACAATGCATGAAACATAGCCAGAATGGGGCATGGTATCGAAAGATGAAAACATGCCATTAATGGTTAACGTCTTCAGCGAGATGGACTTAGTTCTTTCGTGGGCAATGAGCTTCTAACATAGCAAGGGTGTTAACCTCAGGACCATGGTTTGGGTTCTCCATCCAAGCTCCCAGGAGTCCTCCATTGTCTGTGCCTCCTTCCCCCAGACCTTTTTCCAGCCAGCAATTGTTTGGTGATTCCCAGTTTTGCACAGTTTTGCCCCATTCTGGAGGACCAAAATGCCTCTCCCAGCAGTGAGAGCTTTGACGTTCAATATGGCGGTCCTTTTGGTCTCACTGCTTTTGCCTTCATCCACCCCTTCTCCTGCTGGAATGCTGCCCCTGAGAGTCCTCCAGGAGAAGACTCCTCTTTTGGATTCTGGATTTACAGTTGATTGTTGGCATAGTTTGGGACTGTGTGTGTATGCTGTGAGGGTCAGCCATCTGAAGTATTCTTTGGGAGGAAAGACACGGTGCCAAGAACAGAGAACTGGTCTGGAAGGGCTGCTGCTCATCCTTTCGCCCAGAAGAACTGGGCCAGGAAAACATGCTAGTCTGGCCTGGAGGGACTCTTCTCCAGACCAAACATGGCTTGACTCCTGCCAGAGGCCCATGGCCAAGGACCACTGCTCCTCATCTCCCCTGATGCAGCCTGCTTGTTCACCCGCCCCCTGCCTTGGTGTAGGAACGTGGAGGAACAAGCAGAAGTGGCAGATGCCTTGGCCTCCATGCTCTTCCTCTTGAGGAAGCCCATGATCCGACAGCAAAGGAGGAGTGATGGAGGGGAGAAGGTAGACTCCTTCAAAGAGGCAGCCCAGGGAGAATGCCTTGCCGAGGAGAGAACAGGAAAACATGGATCTCCTGGCTGTTCAGATACCCCATGCATCATCCTAAAGCCAGATGTAAATGTGGATTATATCTCTTTAATGGTAATGTGGTCCCACAGCCGACCAGCCATCTCTAACGGCCTTACTATCTTTGCAAAGGTCATGTTGAACTATTAGGATTGGGTGGGGGATATCAGGGTAAACAGAAGAACATTCCCATAAGAGCTGTTTACGAGCCAGATTTCAGAATGACTCCGATTAACAGGACACTCAGCCAGAGATATAAAAATGGAATAGAAAGAACAAGTGTGAGGAAATATGGCATGAAGCAGGTGTTAGTCCAGTGCTGATGATGAAATGTAAGACAATTGAGGCAGATAAAATAGTGCTGAAGAGGGGAACAAAGCTAACAGACATTGCCTGATGGAGAATTTATGTCAAGTTTGTATAGCTTGGTTTGGAAAGGAAAAGAAGGGAGGAAGGTATTGTTTATTGTACTCTAGAACACAATAACTCACCATGCTCTGGTTCAATCCGTTTTTGATGATGCATCAAACTACCAGCATGCATTCTGGCATTTTTATGCACCATAAAAATGGACAGAACCAAACATGTATCACGGTTCATGGAATGTGTTATTTATCCCCCAGAACTCTTTATTTATTTGTTCCCCAGATCTATGTCCAACTTTTCTACACGTGATTTAAGCTGGCTGAGAATTGGAAAAAATCTAATGTGATCTTAATAAAACAAGGAGAACCCTAATTCACACAGCCCCCAACTCCCTTCAACAGCAATAGTCACTGAAAGAAAGCTGTCCTTGCTTTTTGCTATGCAGAACCTGTGTAGCACTGAAGGCGGGCTACACAGAGCTTGCCTGGGGAGTACAGTTTCCAGGGGTTGCATACCAGCACAATGGAAACTGTGATCCAGAGTTCAGAAAATGTGACGACACAATGCGGTTTGGAGAAACTATATGTTGTTGTTCAGTTGCAAAGTCTTGCCTGACTCTCCGTGACCCCATGGACCATGACACGCCAGTCCCGCCTGTTCTCCGCTGTCTCCCAGAGTTCAACCAAATTCATATTCATGGCATCAGTGACACTATCTAATCCTCTGCTGTCCCCTTTCCTTTTGCCTTCCATCGTTCCAGCGCCAGGGTCTTTGCCAATGAGTCCTTCCTCCTCATTAGGTGGCCCAAGTATTTCTGCTTCAGGATCTACCCTTCTAAAGAACATAAACAGTGAAAATGGATTCTTATAGTTTCTAAAGCCCAAACTTACCATGGTGAAATATCACAGCTGGGTTCAGACAACACAGTTGAACAGCATTGGTTAAAAAACCCAACCAACCCCAACCGCACGGGTTGTTGTGTTGTCTGAACCCAGCTGCTAAGAGCCAGCAAGGCATGGTGGGTAGAGTGCCTAACTGGGACCTGGGAGATTTGGGTTCTAGTCCCATCCTCAGTCATGAAGCTTCCTGGATGGTGGAATCTGATTCTAGTTGGAGAAGCTCTCCTCGGTATTTCCTCACCAAGTCAACCAAGGGCTTGTGTAGACCTGCCACACCCCAAATGTGCCGGATTGCATCTTCCATCCAGGTGGCTTTGGGCCTTTCCAACACAAGCCTATTAAAGTGCTGAATCTACTTTCAGTTCCCATGATAGCCTTTAGGGGGAATTGTGGTGCAGTGAAATAACACAAATCTACAAAAAAGAAACAGTGTTTTCTTTCTGTCATTAAAAATAACACCCCATTTTTCCTGTTCTAAAAAAAAGCAAGCTAGCAAGAGAACAGCCTCAACAAATGTGGTGCTTACAAACAGAAGTGAAACTGGAGGAGAGTGACATTGTCTAAAGAACCCATAAACATCCATAAGTAAGGCATTGCAGACACACAATCAATTCCTTGTGTAGAAAAGCTCCCAGAGGAAAAGCAGACACAATAAGCAACCCCTCCCTCTCTTCGGTGCTCCCCATTTTCTAAGCAGGGGGTGTCTCGGTTTTGTTTCAATGTAAACTCCATTTCAAGAGTCAGTGTCGCGTCATTTCCCACTTCCTTTTCCAAATGACAACAGAGAATGTTGATCAAGGGTTGTTTCGCTTTGGCAAAAGAGAAAAACAAAACGCCTTTGGAACGCTTGACAGCATGGGTGGCCAGAAGCCGTGGACAAGCCTTTGGAAGGCAGGCAGTCATCTGCCGAGCATTTCTCTCACCTCCATTTATTTAATAATGTCAGCAACAAAATACTCCATCCCCATCCTAAACGATGCAGCTGAAGTGAAGACATCTATTTAGTTTGGTTGGTAATTCTTTCCTTTGAGTCCACCTCTTCCTCAACTTTCCCTAACACCATAAAAAGATGCCCGTTTGCTGTCTTGGTCCATCAGGCCCCCGGGCAGTCCTCCTGCCATCAGATCTCCTGGCTAATGGGATGCAAATGGTCCTGAAGGCTTGGCCCAGGGGACGGGGCCTTTAAGCTGTTTTGACAAATTTTTCGAGAGGATGCTTATCCAAGACAAACAAGCTAATTTCAAAACAGAGAGTTCCTGAGCGGGCTTACTTATTAACGAGTAAGCAAATAGCACATGGTCAACTTGAGATAGCCTTCACCTTTAGGAAATACTGGTATGGTATTTCTACAGTTTTATACACACACACACACACACACACACACACACAGACACACACACACACACACACACACACACACACACACACAGACACAGAGACACACACACACACACACACACACACACACACGTATCTCTCATATGGTATGCTAGTGTATCTGCAATATATAAATACAGAGAGAGAGAGTCACACACACACACACTTCATAGGATTACTTCAAAACTGAAACAAACGGGCAATTCAGTAGAGAGCAGGAGAAAGCAATAATTGTGTTCTCTCATCCATTTCTCTCCCAAGCATCCTGAAGAGGGTATGAGAAGGATTCCTAAACCACATGAAAAATGTCAAGTGTGTTCCTGAGTCTTGTTTTCATGTTAATTTTCGCAAAAAGTGAAAATCAAAGCTGTAAAACTCCACTCAGTTCATTTATCTTAAAACATATACGTAAATCAAGGAACCAATAAAAAGATCATAGCTTTGCTTTTTTTCATCCTTCCATTACATATAAGCCTAACTATCACCACAAAATACCGTATCATTGCTACGCTTTCTTTTTGGCTAATGGGGCAGAATATAAATAATAACCTCCTTCTCCTTCTCCTTCATTCTTCATGTTAATTCTTGGAAGGAAACCTACTGATTACAGTGAAGATTATTTCCATGTAGCTGTCTTTCTCCAATTTCCTCCCTCCCTCCCTCCCTCCTTCCCTCCCTCCTTTCTTCCTTTCTGTTTTCCCAACCTTCTTTGAATTCCCTCAACATTTTTCATGAACTTTCACTCTTGTTAAAATTCTGGACAACAGGTATACCAGCGAGTGAGCAAGCTTTTGCCAGAAACACCAGCAAGATGGAGGTCCAGTAGCAGTTTCTGGCCACATGCAGCCTCCAGTGTCAAATTCACAAGAAGGTAGCCGTCATGTCATTGCACGCACACGAAAGTACACACACAGACACACACAGAGAGGGAAGGAGCCCTGTGGCAATTTAAGGGCTAATGCATTTGTTATAACATCACATTCGTGGATTAGAGGCCACCACACCAGAACGCTCTTCTCAGCTGGTGGAGACGCGGGTGGAAAGAACAGCATGAACAGATGCTCATGAAATACACCTTGGAGCAGTTGTACATGAAACGGCAGTGTATGTAACACAAGCACAAGGACTATTCAGAGCAAACATGAACACTAGCCCCAGGATGGCCATCCCCTACTCCGCACCCAAGGAAATACTCCTGAGTGCCAAGGAGGAAGATTCCTTGCCACCGAGAAGAAGATTCCCAGGTAAAGCTACCTATTCCTTGTTGGAAGGACTGGATTATTTCATAGGATTGTCGATTGATGTTTTCCACTCACTCACTTGTGGCCATTTTCAGTGGCTTGTCATAAGCAAAATGGCCATCTATTGAGATAGACACAGTCTATTTCTTGGATAAATGTGTCTCAGACATGAGAGTGAGAAAGCGGCCTCTTCCAAGCTTTCTGAGATATGTTCCCCAATGTGGGGAAGTATTTGGTTATGTTGAGATGTCACGTAAATGAAACTGTGGAGGAGTGCAAGCCATTCCTACTGGCATCCATAATCCCACATCCTAACACAGTAAGCTTTCAGTAAGACTCCTTATCTGCAAAATAGGCCATTGTTTACCCCGACCCTAACCAGGAACATTCATCCTCAGAGACTTGCAAGAGTTCATGGGTACAGATCTGACTGCCTCCACTCTTTGACCCCACTTCTCCTCATCCACCCAAGACAGCGACTTCCAAACCATGTTGACAAGAGGACGATGGGAGACAGTACCAAAGCGTATTCTCACCTGATGAATTTGTGGGCAGCACCCTCAGATTTTCAAACTCCAGCATGGTATACGAGGAGTCGAGGGACTCGGCGTAATCTGGCATTTCCATGTCCATTAGGGTTTGACAAATCCTCATTCTTACTGTCAACAGAGACAGGGCAGGGCCCCCACAACCCTGCAGTCAATCACAGCTGAGGGTTTCCAGCATAGTAGGTTTGACTACCACCCCAAGCTCCCAGCATGACAAATCATTACCTAATTCCCCAACTCCTCCCTCTCAACACTATCAGAAGGGTGGAAGGTAGAAATGACCTGGTCTTTATTGCTCTCTCTCTCTCTCTCTTCCCCCGTATCTTGATTATATGATGCAGATAAGGCCTGGTTTAACCCAACGAATTGCATCCTCCATTCAATAGCATGAGGTTTATGGCAATCCTTGAATAAACATTTTGAGAAGTGCAAGCAAGCAGGGGTGTTCCAAAGTGGCTTCCCAGACTAAGGCACAAACTACTGAGCAATGTTGAGCACTTGCTAGGTTATTTGCAGTTGTGTTTCTCAGTAGATTGCTTCCTTGGTGTCTGTAAAAGATGGCAGACGCCTTCATTTTGTGGGAGAGAAAAATGTTCTTTATTACACGGAGGTAATTACATACGAGGTCCATAACTTCCATGTAGTCTGAAAGACCTGATTCTGCTTAATCTTAGAACATGAATTTAGATCTGGCCTGATTGAAATCTGGATGGGTGACTTCATGTTGTGAACTGCCCAGAGAGCTTCAGCTTTGGGCAGAATAGAAATGTAGATGATGATGATGATGACGAAGATGAGGGTGATGACGATGATGTCATGAGCATGTAAAGCCAGAAGCAAAATCCATTATTGGTTATAAGATACACACAAAACAGTATGGGGTTCCACTTGGATGCCATAGGGTTGGATCCAAATACCATCATTCTGAATGCAGACACACTAAAATTAATAAGGCTGAAGTCTATATCAGGGCCCATCTGTCTCCTTAGGTCTGCATGAAGTATGACTAAGCCTGAATCCAACCTGTATTTGATATTGCATTGAAAAATCCAGTCTCTGAACAAGGCTAGAATGTTTGCTTCTTTCCTTAATACTTAGATCTTTTCCACTGTCGTTGGATGTAGGGTTAGCCCTGTGCAACTGAGCAGGCTTTCCCACCCTCTCTTTCTCCACTCCCCACCCCAAAAAATCTACACAGAGCTTCTGGGAACCTATCAATGAAAGGCAGAACCTAGAACCAACTCCAGTTTTTGTGTGTATGAACCATGTCCAGCTCCTATTTGATCCTCCATAGAGGTGAGTAATGTATTCACCCTTCTGGCCTTACTCTATACAGTGACTCACCTTTATTTATTTATTTATTTAAAACATTTCTATGCCGCCCCATTCGCAAAGGGAATTAGCAAAGGGAAGCAAATGAATATGCTTGCATACGGAGCTGCAACCCATCCCCGTTTGCTCTGCACTCAGGAAAGGATTCAAGATGCATCTTTTTAATTTGTTTTTTAAAAGCTGTTAGGACTTTTAAAGGTTGTTTTGGACGTTTTGCTAAGTGGTTTCTGTTTTCTAAACTCTTGTAAACTGAGCTTCAGAAAGATGGTATAGAAATATAAGAAACAGACCAACTGCAAAAGAATGCTATATTTTTTTAATTTCAACTCCAACTCCACCCAATTGTCAGATACATGTGAGCTGTACAATTGAGAAAGAGATCTGGAGAAGAGGGAATTTTCAGAAGGAAAGCTTTGGGCCCAAGGAAAGGGGTTGCCAGTTCTTTTCTCTGTGAAATGACCTAAACTCTGATTCAACCCCATTAATAAGGAGGCCTTGTTGAACTTATAATACTTTAATTAAAAACAAATAATAGAATGAAGCAAAGCCAAATGTTGAAAATACTGAAATCTGCATTTTTTTCTTTTTTGTGACCTCAAGTCGAACATCAACATGGATAACCTTTGGTTGCACCTTAATAGAAGCGAAGTTTGATGGTGGGTCTGATTTGCAGAGAACCAAGGTGAGAAAAGCATCTACAAAAGCATTACCCATATCAGTGTGTAACCTCTCAAAACACACAAGACAAGGATCTGCCTGCTCTTTCCCAGCCAGTGTGAACATAAAAACAAGGTTTCCCAGACCTTTCTCTTCATTTGAGCACCCAAATGAGCTTTGTTATCCACATGCATGAGCTATAAAATAATGAAATGGTGCAACCAATCCCATTTCTTTGAAAGAATAAGTGCAGCACAGATGATTCCTCAGGAAGATAAGAGTTTATGTTTTTTATCCTTGGACTATGAACGGAGGCTTCCAACATCAGCTCGGTTCATGCGTCGTTAGTTGATCTAGTTTCGCTTGCTACTCCAAGAAGGAGGTCCTGCGGGCTTAGGAGATGAGTGTTCTTCAGAGGCAGTGACTGCTCATGAGACCAGTGCTGGTGCAGGTTTTGGGAGGCCCTGGGGTAAGACCCTCTCCATGGGCCCCGTGAGTCCCATCATAAAGATCACCAGCCGCTCCTGCTTCTCCTCTTCTTTCTTGTCCTTGCTTGACAGGCAAAGAGAGACCTCAAGCTAGGAGGACGTGCCGTCTGCTGCTTCTCTTTCTTACCGCAGTTGTCTGGGTCAAAGCAAGAAGCAAGTGAACCAGCAGTTGCAATGGTGAAGAAGAAGAACAGCCCCAGAGCAATTGTCAGGCTGGGCTGTGGGTGCTTGGCAGATGCTTGACCATGTCCACCCTTGATGTTGGCTCTGCTTTCAGCCCTCAAGACGTGGGATTTGCCCAGCTCTCCATGGATGCCTTACAGGAGTGGTAGGCTCCCAAACCCTTCCTGTCTTGCAAAATGCGATGAGGATTCTGCACGGTGTTAAAGGCCCCCTCTCCCGCCCTCGTACGCCTTGCGATGAGCTACGTTGTGCAGGAATGAAAGAATCCCATTCCAAGGTCATATAAACATTTCCCATATCATGCATGACCAGCAGAATAATTGTTTTTGCTCAGGGCAGCTGGCAAAGTTCGTGCTTTCTTTAAGTCTATGCCAAGGACAAGCACTGGAGAAGTCCAACTTTTCTTGCCTGCAACACATAAATGACACTGGAAACCGGCCACCTTCAAACAGACATAGTCCTTCATTTACTGCCATGTTGGGGTCATTCATTGTTACCTAACACAACTTAAAAAGATGAATCTCAGCAATATTAGGGCAGAACTCAGGAACTTCAAAAAGGGAAGTCCACCTCAATATAACCTTCCAAACCTTAGCTTTGGTGGCATGCTTCTTATACTAATTGTCAGAAGGTGGTATAGGGCATCCAGGATGCAGCATCTGGCACTGTTTGAGTAGCAGGGATGCTGCCATCATTGGCCCCCCTTTTTGGACTTCCCTGTAGGGATGTGCTGAAGCTCCACAGAATCTATCCCTCCAGTGCTTGCAGACTTCCCATCATGTGTGGCCTGGTCTTGGAAAGTGAGCTGTGTCCAGAGGAAGTCCTCAAACATGCATGAAATGAAGGTTGTATAGCTGGCACGCAAATACCGCTGCACATGGCATGGAAAAGGGTTGGGCATCTCATGTGTTGGGCTCAATTCCTGGGGGGCACCATGCCAACGACCTTCTTCTGTATCCCATGCAGCAAATGAAGGCTCCAGATGGACTCTGAAATCCAGACGGATTTGATTCTAAGGCTGACTTCTTGGGGAGAGGAGGCTACTATGAGTATGGTCACAGGGCGACCTTGTGTCCTTCCTTACAAAGAGCAGCTTCCAGGGTTATTAGATGGCAGTTCTCTCTTTGGAGACATCCTCTATTTGAACACCAGTCCAGTCCTTAGGAAAAGAGCAAGAACCTTAGAGTGGACCCTTGAATGTCCACATCAGCACTTAACGTGTGGACTGCATCCTTGAGTGGCCACATCAATCTCCTAGTACCCATCTTCTCCTTGATTGTCTTTCTATTTACATGATAATCATCATTTCTCTATTTGCATCCATACATATAAATTAGCTTATGCCATGTTTCTGTAAATCAGCTCCGTTTTGCTGTAATTTTTGGCAGGGTGTTTCTTTTTTAGGGGGTGCTGATGCCTGTAGGGCCACCCAAGTATTGCATAGTTTGACCACTAGGAGATGCCAGGCAGAGTTGGAGCTAGATGGAATTAGCAGTTTCCCATTTCTGTTCTTCAGGTCTTGCAGACAAAAAACGCAGTGCTTGTCAAGCATCCCCTAAGTCTTCTCTCAATCACCATCGAGCTATTTATGTGATGCCAAGATTTCAGATGAATGCAGAGACGTTCTTGTACTATTCCAATGTAATAAGAGAAGGATCCAGGCCTCCCATTATTCCCCTTTATTGAAGACTCTCCCCCCACACGTGTGTTGCATTCCCTTACTCTGCCTTGATCTCTTCAGGTTGATTTAGCAGGCAATGTGCTGGATATTTTAACCCCAGCTACTGTATGTTAGAAAAATATAATTGTCCCATCCAGAGTTTGAAAGGCGCTCCCATCCCTGCCATCTCAGAAAAGGAGGCTGTGGAGATTGTCAGGCATTTGGGAAATGGGTCTTTTGAGTGCAAAAAACAGCAACTAAAATGATCAAGGGTTTGGAGAACTCTCTTGTATGGAAAAGTTACAACCGCTGAGATGGTTATGCTTAGAAAAAAGACAAGTAAGGGGCACAGGGTGTACAGAACTATGCATCCTGAAAAGTTGCACATAATACTCAAAGCCCAAAGAGTCATCCCATGAAACTGATGGGTGCGAGTTTTAGGACAGACTGATGGAAGGATTTCTTAACACAGTGTGGAGCTGAACAATGGGGATTCACTTCCTCAAGGTGCAATGATTGCTGCTGATGTAGAGAGCTTTGAAAGGAAGTGATCATGGAGGAGAAGGTGATGGAAGGCTATTATTCCTCATGGTGATGTACTGACTCCAGTACCAATGGCAGGATGTCTATGGATGCCACCAAATGGAGAACTAAGGACATTTGCCCTGCCTTTGTTAAGGTTTATGTATTATTCTTGGAAGTTATTTGTGACAGATTTTATTTTCCTGGGCTCCAAGATCACCACAGACGGGGACTGCAGCCAAGACATTAAAAGACGCTTGCTCCTGGGAAGGAAAGCTATGGCAAATCTAGACAGCATACTAAAAAGCAGAGACATCACCCTGCCAACAGAAGTGCGTATAGTCAAGGCTATGGT